AACGAGAGGAGGCACTCCCTATGGATTTCCATGTGTTGTAAAGAGCGTACCATATGCATTTGGACATTGTGTTCCACTGGTTTTAGTCAACCAACATTGCTATCACAATTTCACTTACCTTTTCAGCACAGAAGAACTCAAACATTCAAATGGTTTTGTGAGAGTTCTCAATCACTAGTTCTCTCTCTCTCTCCCTACCTCCCACTAGAGGTCAGCAGATGGCAGCTGTTCACAGGGCCAGGTTCAGACTGTTATGGTCAATACAACAAACAAAGTATATTACTCATGGACAAACATGTTTAGCAGGTATAAAGGTTGCCTAGTTATATTCTGTATGTCACAAAGACGTCACTTGATCACATAGAAACCTGGTGTTACAACAAATGTCAAACCTCATGGATTGGATATTAGGTACTGTAATGAGTAACCACAACCGTTGAATAAAATGTACCACAGAATGGTACTGTAGCTGGCTGGTGGGAGTTTAATGATCGTTAACATGTTCCACAGCAGAAGGGCCTGATAGTAGAGAAAATGAACAGCAGTACTCAAGGATTTACTTTTCCCTAACCTGCATAGACAGGACAATCTTTACTCATTTGAATACACCCTGTATTCATTTGCACTCTGTCCATGTTCTCACACTGCACTACACTACCTCCAGCTGCCAGACGTTTAACATTTGGCAGACACTGTTGCTGAAGTGTAATACATGACTCATTGCGGAGACATCTCTCCCTGTTGGCTGCGTTTCAAACCACAGCTAGACAACTCTCTCACAGACCCAGATGGTCAGTTACACGTTGTTCTTCCTCTCCTCCTCCTCTCTCACTCTGCCTTCTCTCCTCCAGAGTTCTCCGACATGGTCAAGATGGAGAAGAAACCCAGGAAGTACAGGTCAGAGAAGGGTCATCCCCACCAAAGGGCGGCAGATAGCTTAGTGGTTAAGAGCATTGTGCCAGTAAACGAAAGGTCGCTGGTTCTAATCCCCGAGCGGACTAGGTGAAAAATCTGTCGATGTGCCCTTGAGCAAGGCACTTAACCCTAATTGCTCCTGTAAGTCGCTCTGGATAAGAGCGTCTGCTAAATGACAAACAAAAAAATGTTTTAGAGTGGGTTGCTATAGAGGACTGGAGAGAGGAAGTCACAGTTTTCTGGATATGAGCATGGTTGCTTTGCTGTGTCATTGGCTTTTCTCAATTGGATTTCCTCAACTCTTGCATCCTCTTTCCACCGTCCTCTCTCGCCTTTCAAAAAAGGTCAAAGGTAATCAAGGAGGCAGCGAGGAGAAGGAACGTGGCCGAAAATGCGCTTGTATGAAATGACTCTCCACTTAAATATGTAGTGATAAAACCAAATTACGTTAGTTGTGCAAGACATTTTATAGACAAAACGATAGGTAGCACTCCACCAATCAGGCCTTTATTGTAGAGTGGCCAGACGGAAGCCATTCCTCAGTAAAAGGCACGACAGCACGCTTGGATTTTGCCAAAAGGCACCTAAAGACTCTCAGACCATGAGAAACAAGATTCTTTGGTCTGATGAAACCAAGATTGAACTCTTTGGCCTGAATGACAAGCGTCACGTCTGGAGGAAACCCTACGGTGAAGCATGGTGGTGGCAGCATCATGCTGTGGGGACGTTTTTCAGTGGCAGGGACTGGGAGACTAGTCAGGATCAAGGGAAAGATGAACGGAGCAAAGTACAGAGAGATCCTTGATGAAAACCTGCTCCAGAGCGCTCAGGACCTCAGACTGGGATGAAGGTTCACCTTCCAACAGGACAACGCCCCTAAGCACACAGCCAAGACAACGCAGGAGTGGCTTCGGGACACCATTTATCGGTTTCCGGGCCACGGAGAAGAGAGGACGGAGGAGAGTGTGGAGGATGGACTTTTGCCCACATGAGAAAAGGCCAGGGTTGACTACATGGGTGGCTATTATTATCTCACCTCCAAAAGGAATGATGAATCTGTAATACTGGTGTAATACTTTCTCAAGTGCCGTGATTTTTCCTGTGTGTACTGTACTTTCTTTGTGTTTGTGTCATGATATTAGCCATTTGGGAGCAGAGTGAAAACAGCAGTGTGTGACCACATTCCTGCACTTTATACCCAGCCTTATCTTGTCTGTACAGAACACATTTGTTAACAGTGGATTAAAGATTAAAAGGGCATGGTTTTCACGTGATCGAGCAGTATATTCTCACAGGCAGGGCAATAAGACTAAACATAATGTACCCTAACCAACCAAGCGGAAGACATTAAACTCTATATCAAAATCTCTGCTTTCAGAAAGTATTCAGACCCCTTGACTTTTTCCAAATTTTGTTGTGTTACATCCTGAATTTAAAATGGAATAATTGCAATTTCTTTCACTATCCTACACACAATACCCCCTTTTATTTATTTTTTATTATTCATTAAAAATGAAAAGCTGAAATGTCTTGAGTTGATAAGTATTAAACCCCTTTATTATGGCAAGCGGAATGTAAAACGGAATGTAGCTATGCACAGGCAAAATCCTAGAGGAAAATCTGTTATGTCTGCTTTCCACCAGACACTGGGAGATGAATTCACCTTTCAGCAGGACAATAACCTAAAACACAAGGCCAAATCTACACTCGAGTTGCTTACCAAGAAGACAGTGAAAGTTCCTGAGTGGCCGAGTTACAGTTTTGACTTAAATCGGCTTGAAAATCTATGGCAAGACCTGAAAATGGTTGTCTAGCAATGATCAACAACCAATTTGACAGAGCTTAAAGAATTTTGAAAATAATATTGGCACAATCCAGGTGAGGAAAGCTCTTAGAGACTTACCCAGAAAGACTCACAGCTGTAATCGCTTTCAAAGGTGATTCTAACATGTATTGACTCAAGTTTTTAAAATGTTTTTTTTAAATATATTTTTCTTCCACTTTGACAAAGTATTTTGTGTAGATCGTTGACAAAAAAAGGACAATTAAATATATTTTAATCCCACTTTGTAACACAACATGTGGAAAAAGTCAAGTGGTGTGAATACTTTCTGAAGGCACTGCACATGCTGTTAAAGCCTTAATGCAAAACTGCTCGATGGTGGTGTGTTCCTAACCTGCTTTAATCCTATTGACTACTTCATTATGTTCAGATTACTAACATGACATACTATCAAATAGAAATACAAGACAATACAAACGTTAATTCTCAATTTCTTTATAGATTTGTTATACATTAAAAACCTCCATTCTAAAAATGGCACTATGGAGGTACTCAACCCAATTCCCCCTGTTAAAATGTACTGTGCACATTGAAAAATGAATGTCTGATGTGAGTCCTCCGTAGAGGAAAGCCTGAACCATTTATTGTTATTGTTTAATGATTGTTATTCTAAAAATACATAAAACATAAAAATAAGCTAATTCCTTGATTCTGTTGTAGGGTCTTTGGTTTCTTTACCATGCACCACATAGATATTATGCACACGTAGAGTGAGCCTTGGTAGGTGCTACCATTTTCTGCATAAATGCCACTTCCCATGTGGAGGTGACCATGCAAAGTCTCAGTCAGAGATCAATCTCTATGGTCTCAGTAATCAGATTAATCTAATGTACTTCTTGGGTCCTGAATGACCTCATTCACCAGGCATCAATATTCAGCAGAAACAATGATACTTCTCTGTGACCTGTGTCACTATTCATTCTGGGTTCTATTCATTAGGGGACAGCGTAGCAAAATGCCCTGCAACGGAAAACTAAAATAAACGTTTCTTATTGGAAGAGTTTAAGTAGTCCGTCCTTGTTTCAGTCCGTTTTCTTCTGTTTGGTGCCTAACAAATCCAGCCCTGAGCTAGCGTTTAAGAAGAGTCTAGCTGCTCTATTGTCTAGTCCAGCCACACACACACACTCAGATTCTCCAGGAGATCCTTGGAAACGTCCATTCATGTTCTGGCAGCGAGTGCCCGAAGATAAAGGCCACTGACAACATGTCCTTTTGGAGTTGTTGTGGAAACATCTTCCTTCACTTCAATAAGTTTCCCCAGTTACCTCAACGACAACTCATTTTGCAGACAAAAGATTGAGATTCACATTAAGGCACACACTGGTGGTGGTTTGAATAAATACAGTTCTTGTCCATGTAGCATTGCTCTCTCATATTAATAAGGAAACTTGTATGATTAGCATTTTTTTAAGTGAGAAAGTAAAATACATGTACAAATCTCTTCATTTTCATAAAACATTTAATTTGATTAAAAATATATATCTGTTATCTTCTCCCCTCAGCTTTGCTTTGGTCAAACACTTCAGTTGTCTGTTGACCCACTACTCCACACAGAAACATAGTAACATCATCTGAACATAATCTGACTACATATCAGAATAGACCATGACTACTGCCAGAAATGCTGTGCGAAAGTATTTAGGGCAGTGAGGGAGTAGGTATTTTAAGTAGGTGGCCGCCCCAGCAGCAACAGCCCTATCCCTTGTCAACATACAGGGGGGTCAGAAATTATTTACACCCTAGATGAGCAATAACAACTGGATTAATAATTAAAATACGGATCTACAATGTATGCAAAAAAATTATATTATTTTATACTTACAATTGCTCAGAGAAAGCGATTTTGTTTAACAAGTTATACTTTTTTTTCTCTCAAAAAGGTAGGGATCAAAATGATTGACAACCCTAATGATTATTTTAAATAAAGTAGTACAAAGTTTAGTATTTGGTCCCATATTCCTAGCACGAAATGACTACATCAAGCTTGTGACTCTTCAAACTTGTTGGACGCATTTGCAGTTCGTGTGGGCAGTGTTTAAGATTATTTTGTGCCCAATAGAGTCACTTTTATTATAAATAAGAATAGCATATGTTTCTAGACACTTCTACATTAATGTGGATGCTAACATGATTAGGGACAATCCTGAATGAATCGTGAATAATGATGAGTGAGAAAGTTACAGAAGGTCAAAGTTCATACCCCCAAGACATGCTAACCCCTCACCATTACCAATAACAGGGGAGGTTAGCATGTATTGAGGGTATGATCTTTGACCCTCTAACTTTCTCACTCATTATTATTTACGATTCATTCAGGATTATCCCTAATCATGGTAGCATCCACATTAATGTAGAAGTGTCTAGAAACATATGTCTGACTAAGACCCACAGAACCTGATTGTCTGAAATGGTTTTAAAAGACTCAAAACGTCTTAAAATAGTATAAAAAGGCTAAAAAAAACATTAAATTGGTAAAATATGTCCAAAATGCCATTGATAAAAACTTCAGCTGTGCAGTCTAAAACAATCTTCATCCAAAATGAAAATAATATTGCTGGTAACTCAGCAAGTGTCAGCAACAGTCTATGACTGTCTCCCTGCCAACCTGCCTCCACCCCTGTTAGAGTCTTCTCAAGAGGATTGGCTAAGCCCAACCATGGAGACCATTTTCTCAGAGGTTTTGGCTAACCTCCACCATGGCAGGTAGTGACAAAGTCAGACATGGAGTCATTACTCTATAAATCTCGTAGTTGCAACAGCGACGGGCAAGTTGGTTTACTGGGAGTTGGCTAACTATGGGAGCCAGTGGTGGAGACGGAGTCATTACCATAGACTTATGTAATTAATGTGGTCGTTGCCATAGCGACCTGGAGTGAGTTAGTTCCTGAGGTCACTGGTGCATGTAGAGCGTGATGAGGCCTGCCTGATGGAGCTGCTGCCACAGTGTCATCTCCATCTTCAGGTCATGGTTGATGAAGAAACCCACAGGGTGATAACTGCTGTCATAGTAGTGGTCAGAGTAGTTCTTATAGTCTGGAGTCATGAAGCCGTACGCACTCACCTGTTTTCGACAGACAGACAGACAGACAGACAGAGAGACAGAGAGACAGAGAGAGATGATTACCTCATTGACCTTTGCTTTCATGAGTGGTCTGAGTGACATGCTGCATGTCTAATTGAAGGCTATCAGTGCCAGAGTAAGTACTGTCAATCTGTAAAGCAAGTGCAGTCATGTCCAGGGAGTCGTAATCAGTGGTGTAGTGGAGGGTAAATGCAGTTGATCTACCTTTTTTATTTTGCCTAACAGTTTACCCACCTTTTGCAGAAAAATGCATTGAAAGTATAGGGAGCGTAACTTTTTTCACCGTGACCGGCGATCAGAGTTTACCCACCAATTTATTTACCACTACATCACTGGTCGTCATCTTATGCTTTTACTGTACGTGGTCGTAACTAACTAATACACATTACGGTATACCTTGTGCTTTTACTGTCAGTGGTCATAACCGGTCTTCTCTTGTTCAAATATGAAGTGTTGCAATTACTTTTTAGTGGCTGTTGGTAGCTTATACCGTACCTGGTCACAGGTGTGCATAGCAGCCAGCAGCATCACAGCACCTGTTGATGGACGGTAGATGTCCTTGTATTTGGTCTGCATGGCATGGCCTCGGAGGAACCTACACAGAACATGAAAACCATTTAACAACCACACTGCAGGTGCACATATTTACTTCTAACTAACTATTAAAATAGCTCTCCTCAGGGACACTAAAGTTGATCCTATCCTGTCCTAAAATGCCCTTGTTGGAGAAAAGGTGTTGGACAGACCACTCCTAGCTACCACATTTTCCTTGTTTTGAGGACAGCTAACAATACACAACACTTGTCCTTTTCAGTAGAGTCACACTATATCCTGATATGGTTAATTAATTTAGATGTCATTCTAGTTACGTGACCCTTGGGTTCGTGGCACTGGCACAAAGGAGTTTATATGTCCAGGTGTGTGTAATCAGAGCTCAGGTGTGATTCTGATCAGTCACAACAACTATCCTAAAGATAGCACAAAGATAACTCATTTATTTTCCCCTCTTTTACTCACCTGTTTCTGATGTAACGTATGAAATCTGGATGGTACATCTTGAACTTTTCTACACTCACATTTTTTCCAAAGTATGTGGGTGGCCTGAGGAAGAAAAAAATTAAGCAATTTATTCACAAAGAAACATCAATATGGTGAACAGTATAGAACACACATTTGTTAATAAAGAAGTAATACTTGGGTGACATTGACGGTGTTCAATTGCAGTTGCAGTCCACATGGATGCTGTGTGGGGAATGAAATCAAAACTGTGTCCATGGATGTGAACCCATGTGGTATCTTACGTTTTGCTCTTCTCTGGTCCTCTCTCTACTGGAGTGTGTGTGGCGGCTGCTTTCATCAGCAGATAATCCCTGTCATGGTCTGGCAGGAAGACATACCTAGTCTCCTACAGGATAGAGAGAGAGAGGTGAAAACAATCAGACTATAAAAGAACGAGTTTGTCTTTGAATGAATGAATGCATGCATGAATGAATGAATAAAAGAATGGATGGATGAATTAATTAATAAATAAATAAAAACAAGTCATGTTTATTCCTAGTGAGTCAATTTGATCGTGAACCATCATCATCATCATGGAAGGTCTCACCTCAGACAGCGGTGGTCCACTGTAGCCCGCTCCGGCGTATCTCTTCATGGAGTTACGGAGGGTGTTGGTGGAGAACGTGTAGACGGACGTTCTAGAGCCCACATCCTGCTCAAAGCCCTTAATCACAGCTCCATTGGTCCTGGAATCACAACAGAGGCACGGAACAGAACACTGTCAATGACTAATTAGAACACAGGAACACTGTCAATGACTAATTAGAACACAGGAACACTGTCAATGACCAATTAGAACACAGGAACACTGTCAATGACTAATTAGAACACAGGAACACTGTCAATGACTAATTAGAACACAGGAACACTGTCAATGACTAATTAGAACACAGGAACACTGTCAATGACTAATTAGAACACAGGAACACTGTCAATGACTAATTAGAACACAGGAACACTGTCAATGACCAATTACAACAGTAGCATGAACACTGTCAATGACCATTGGAAAGAAATGACCACTTAGACCCTTTGGTAACCACAGCAACCAGATACATGCCTCATTCTAATCTACAGACTCTTGAGAAGCCCTTGAATGGGCCATCCTGATTGACAAAATGCCAACTGTCACATTAACATCGAAATGCTCATTACAAGGAACCTGTAGAATGAAACATTTGTAAACGTTTGAACACCTAACATGGTCTAACCTCGCCCCCAGGCTATTGAGGAAGTCAAGACTAAACAAGGTCGAAAAAGGCATCTCTCACCTGAAGACATAGTCATGTTGGTCAATCTCCCGGCCTTTCTTTGAGTCCTTCAGAATCCCTCCGTTGCCCACGACAGCACAACAGACACACTGCGAGCCGTTGCTTCGACTCTCCCAGTCATCAAACATGTGCCAGTTGGCTGATGTGTTGAGAACAGATAGGGTCGACACCAGAGCTGTTTGCACAACAAAATAAAAACATTTAATTTTCATTTTTTACAAAGACCTTGGAGATTCGTTTTAGAATTCTTGGCAGGTTTAATCCTCACACAGTCCCAAATAAAAAGCCTTGCTCGCGGCAATAAATGTATTCCAATGTAATAAAAAAATATATTCATAAACCAATGGATTTGCCTAATGCAAATCACCCAATGGACGATTCTTACACACTCAACTGAAAGGGTCGTGTTGTCCAAATAGCTGCAAAAAACAAAATGGGGCCTGAGGCAAGGTGTGGGTAAATCTTTATTTGTATAGTCTATGGGGTAAACACAATGGAATGATTCCATCATTGACTCTTCTACATCTGAGCTGATAAGAGATTCACATGTATCTGTAAAGAGGCACAGATGTCCTATTGACTGACCATGAAGGGTTGCGTGTCCTATCTTTATTGCGATGGCCATGGAGCAAAGGCACTGCAGTTAGACAATGGCCACATTGTGTGTTAGTCACCCACACTAACGGCAACACCACGCACGGTCTCGCTTAGCCAATGTTGTCTAACTATATTATTTGTAGTAATGCATTGAAACAACGGTCACGTCAACATGTATTGAAAGTACTTACTGTCAATGTCAAGGTTTCCCCAGCCATGAGCCCCTGGGTACAGTTTGAGGCGCTGGTACTGTTCTGTAGTGGCATGCTTGGCCCACTGGAGGACAGGGATCCTGCCCAGATACCTAACCCCAAAGTCTGTCTGGGGCACCCTGCTACGAATACTGTTTGGACAGTCCTGGAGGGAAAATAAACAACAATAGTATTCTTATTGAAGACTATGAACGTTCCTGTTGAATCCATTATGAGTACATCTCGGCCCATCTTTAAAAAGCGTCTCAGAGTAGGAGTACTGATCTAGGATCAGATCCCCCCCTGTCCATGTAATCTGATTCATTATGATCTAAAAGGCTAAACTGAACCTAGATCAGCACTCCTACTGTGAGACTCTATACACTCCCTGTGTTTTAATTTTAGAGTAAGGGGCACACCACCAAAACAAAGTAACACCTCAAATTCATGGTTATCATTCTATAGTAGCACATAAGCTATAACAACGCCAGCAATACTTGTTCCAGTCAACAGACTTTGCAACATCATAAATTGTATGACTCAATGGAAGTAATTAACTGTATCTTGTAATTTAACGTTCTACAGTGGAAGAGCTGCATAATGACTAGAGGGATGTGGAGAATTATAATTCTTGGGGAGAGGCATAGCGGTTATGAAGAACACGTGGAAAACACGTGGAAAACACATTGATTATGTTCCAAATGGCACCTTATTCGCTATATAGTGCACTACTTTTGATCAGGGCCCATAGGGCTCTAGTCAAAAGTAGTGCACTATGTGGGGAATAGGGTGCCATTTGGGATGTAGCCTTACTGTATCATCCCCAAACTCTCTGTGCTAAAAAAAAAACATTACACTACGATTATCTAATTAAAATGTCAGAAATTACTCATTTAATTCACTGGAAATGAATCCACTCACACACGCGCCCACCAACGCACGCACACACATCAAACGTCATTGTAGAACATTAAGTCATTAACATCAGCGTCAAGGCTGATGAACAGTGAACTAGTAGTGTAATTGTACCATGCAGACCTGCAGACCTGCAGTTTATAAAGATGTGACAATACATCTGCCCGATTTTCACAATGTAATATGTAGATGGCTTAAGATGGCCCAAAGCGTATCAAATGGATGTTTGAATTACATTTTGGGTTGTGTAATCTGGTTGTTAACTAGAGTGTCAACCATTTTCCTAATTACAGCAGTGTGGGGCATTATTTTCACAGTGCCCCCATGAATAGCCACCCATATGCCTGAAAGTGCCACCCTCAGCCCTTCCTCAAATCAGTCAACGTTGACTGCAAGTAGACCACAGCCCATCTAAGGTCTCTGAAGTAGACCGCAATCACAGAAAGGGAAGCTTCAACTCACTGTTTGAGGTGGGGCATCTTCACTGTAGTAACTGTCTCCAATGAAGGGTGGCTCTGTTGCTTTGGGTGATGGAGTGTTGCCGTCAATCGAGTCTACAGAGTCATGTGACCTAGAGGAAGACAAAACAACACGGCAACGGTCAAACAAGACATTCCCTGCAGCAGAAAGGGATAGTGCATTGTTACAACAACTCTGCTGGTTAGTGTAACAATGTGCAATTGTTGTGGTTATTAACGCTGTATGTCATAAAAAGTATCATTGGCTTACTCCAAGTTAACCATATCCTGCTACTAATAATGGAAACAAAACACATATTGAATCAATGTAACATTTATTTTTGCTGTAGAAAGCCAGTTTACTTTTTACATAATCTCTCACAAGCAAAGGTCCTCTAGTAAAAGTAAAAGTGTGCCAGAGACAAGAGGTTGATCTATATCTCTCTGTATCTGACTCTGCAGAAACATTTTGTCGACTTTGGTCACACTGGTCTAACGGTGTGATCCACATTGAACAGAGAAGAGGAAGGAGGCATTTCCTCCTCCTAACCCACACATTAAAAAATACTATAGTACAGTTGAAGTCGGAAGTTTACATACACTTAGGTTGGAGTCATTAAAACTCGTTTTTCAACCACTCCACAAATTTCTTGTTAACAAACTATAGTTTTGGCAAGTCAGTTAGGACATCTACTTTGTGAATGACACAAGTAATTTTCCCAACAATTGTTTACAGACAGATTATTTCACTTATAATTCACTGTATCACAATTCCAGTGGGTTTAATTCCAAGTTTACATACACTAAGTTGACTGTGCCTTTAAACAGCTTGGAAAATTCCAGAAAATGATGTCATGGCTTTAGAAGCTTCTGATAGACTCATTGACATAATTTGAGTCAATTGGAGGTGTACCTGTGGATGTATTTCAAGGCCTACCTTCAAACTCAGTGCCTCTGCTTGACATCATGGGAAAATCAAAAGAAACCAGCCAAGACCTCAGAAAAAAATATTGTAGACCTCCACAAGTCTGGTTCATCCTTGGGAGCAATTTCCAAACGTCTGAAGGTACCACGTTCATCTGTACAAACAATAGTACGCAAGTATAAACACCATGGGACCACGCAGCCGTCATACCACTCAGGAAGGAGACACGTTCGGTCTCCTAGAGATGAACGTACTTTGGTGTGAAAAGTGCAAATCAATCCCAGAACAACAGCAAAGGACCTTGTGAAGATGCTGGAGGAAACAGGTACAAAAGTATCTATATCCACAGTAAAACAAGTCCTATATCGACATAACCTAAAAGGCTGCTCAGCAAAGAAGAAGCCACTGCTCCAGACTACGGTTTGCAACTGCACAAGGGGACAAAGATCATACTTTTTTGGAGAAATGCCCTCTGGTCTGATGTTTGGCCATAATGACCATCGTTATGTATGGAGGAAAAAGGGGGGAGCTTGCAAGCCGAAGAACACCATCCCAACCGTGAAGCATGGGGGTGGCAGCATCATGCTGTGGGGGTGCTCTGCTGCTCAAGGGACTGGTGCACTTCACAAAATAGATGGCATCATGAGGAAGGAAAATTATGTGGATATATTGAAGCAAAATCTCAAGACATCAGTCAGGAAGTTAACGCTTGATCGCAAATGGGTCTTCCAAATGGACAATGACCCCAAGCATACTTCCAAAGTTGTGGCAAAATGGCTTAAGGATAACAAAGTCAAGGTATTGGAGTGGGCATCACAAAGCCCTGACCTCAAGTTGTGGGCAGAACTTAAAGCGTGTGCGAGCAAGGAGGCCTACAAACCTGACTCAGTTACACCAGCTCTGTCAGGAGGAATGGGCCAAAATTCATCCAACTTAATGTGAGAAGCTTGTGGAAGGCTACCTGAAACGTTTGACCCAAGTTAAACAATTTAAAGGCAATGCTACCAAATACTAATTGAGTGTATGTAAACTTCTGATCCATTGGGAATGTGATGAAAGAAATAAAAGCTTAAATAAATCATTCTCTCTACTATTATTCTGACATTTCACATTCTTAAAATAAAGTAGTGATGCTAACTGACCTAAAACAGGGAATTTTTACTAGGATTAAATGTCAGGAATTGTGAAAAACTGAGTTTAAATGTATTTGGCTAAGGTGTATGTAAACTTCCGACTTCAACTGTAAATACAATAGTATTCACTGTAGTGTTTTTGAGGACTTCACCGTAGTATTCACTGTAGCATTTTTGTGGACTAAAGTCTGGAGTAGTATACTGTATACTACTATAGTATTTACAGTTAACTGTAGTATAAATACTATTCAAATAAAACTGTAGAATAGACTATAGTAATTAATGTAGTGTTTTTGCGGATTGTAGTATACTGTAGTATTTCCTATAGTGTTTTTGTTATATTATCTTTGACATAGAAGTGGAGGCTTTCTACTTGAGGAAACCTACTGGAGAAATACTAAAGATAGGACTGGGTTCTGAACAGATATTTCAGCACTTCTGGTTTTTTAGGGAACACATATGGTCTATACTTGGCATGTAGGTTTCTCACCTATGGGTGGCACAAATATAGGGGATATGGGGGAGGGGAATGGGCAGGGTATATACAAATTGAATACTCTAGTATTTACTATAGTAAAAAAAAAAAAAAAAGTTTTTGTTTTTGCAGACTGTCGTGTTTTTGCAGACATGACATTTTCCAGAGTACGCATAGAGCCCCGAGTTGATTATCCCACATACTACGCCTATAAATGAACACATTTGCTGCTAGTAATGTGTTAATTTGCTGGTAGAAATGCACTGAAGTAGCTAGCTAGCTAGCAAGTTTACTAGATAGCTACAGTAGTTGCCTTGGTAGCCAAACAAACAGACAATGTTTTCAATTCGACTTTTGCTTTTGAAAAGCAGGTCAAACATAGAACATGTAAAAATGAACTTCATAGCCATTGGTTATTCCCTTGCATTACAGATAAATAATATACATACTAGAATGCCCTTGAAGCCAATCAGAAACGAGTACTCAACAATGCCATGGTATAATTTAGCAATAATGCACGAGGGGGTGTGGTATATGGCCAATTTACCACGGCTAAGGGCTGTTCTTTGGCACTACGCAACACAACAGTGCCTGGACACAGGCCTTAGCCGTGGTATTTTGGCCATATACCACAAACCCCAGAGGTGCCATATTGCTATTATAAACTGGTTACCAATGTAATAAGTAAAAAGTATTTTTTTGTCATACCCGTGGTATATGACAGGGCTCGAAAAACACGGTTTATAATACTATATAATCCAGAACATAAAGACTCCAACACCATCATCAAGTTTGCAGATGACACGACGGTGGTGGGCCTGATCACCAACGACGACGGGACAGCCCATAGGGAGGAGTTCAGAGACCTGGCAGTGTGGTGCCAGGAAAACAACCTCTCGTCAGCAAGACAAAGGTGCTTATCGTGGACTACAGGAAATGGAGGGCCGAACACGCCCCCATTCACATTGACAAGGCTGTAGTGGAACGGGTCGAGCGCTTCAAGTTCCTCGGTGTCCACATCGCTAAGGAATTATCATGGTCCACACGCACACCAACACAGTCGTGAAGAAGGCACAACACTGCCTCTTCCCCCTCAGAAGGCTGAAAAGATTTGGCATGGGCCCTCAGATACTCAAGAAGTTCTACAGCTTCACCATTGAGAGTATCTTTACTGGCTGCATTACAGCTTGGTATGGCAACTGCTCGGCATTCGACCGCAAGGTGCTACAGAGGGTAGTGCGTATGGCCCAGTACATCACTGGGGCTGAACTCCCTGCCATCCAGGACCTCTATACCAGGCGGTGTCAGAGGAAGGCACATAAAATTATCAAAGACTCCAGCCACCCAAGTCATAAACTGTTCTCTCTTCTACCGCACAGCAAACGGTGCCGGAGCACTAAGTCTGTGGCCAAAAGACTCCTGAACAGCTTCTACCCCCAAGCCATAAGACTACTAAAATAGTTAAGCAAATAGCTACCTAGACTATCTGCATTGACCCTTTTTGCACTAATTCTATGCACACACACTGAACTCTACCCACACACTCACACTACATGGCCAAAAGTATGTGGACACGTGCTTGTCGAACATCTTATTCCAAAATCATTGGCATTAATATGGAGTTGGTCCCAACTTTGCTGCTATAACAGCCTCCACTCTTCTGGGAAGGCTTCCCACTAGAAGTTGGAACATTGCTGCGGTGACTTGCTTTCTTCAGCCACAAGAGCATTAGTGAGGTCGGGCACTGATGTTGGGCGATTAGGCCTGGCATGCAGTCGGCATTCCAATTCATCCCAAAGGTGTTCGATGGGGTTGAGGTCAGGGCTCTGTGCAGGCCAGTCAAGTTCTTCCACACCGATCTCGGCGAACAATTTCTGTATGGACCTCGCTTTGAGCACGGGGACAAACTTGCCACAAAGTTGGAAGCACAGAATCGTCTAGAATGTCATTGTATGCTGTAGCGTTAAGAGTTCCCTTCGCTGGAACGAAGGAGCCTAGACCCAAACCATGAAAACCAGCCCCAGACCATTATTCCTCCTCCACCAAACTTTACAGTTGGCACTATGCATTGGGGCAGGTAGCATTCTCCTGGCATCCGCCAAACCCAGATTTGTCCGTCGGACTGCCAGATGGTGAAGCGTGATTCATCACTCCAGAGAACGCGTTTTCACTTCTCCGGAGTCCAATGGCGGCGAGCTTTACACCACTCCAGCCGACGTTTGGTATTGCGGAAAGTGATCTTAGGCTTGTGTGTGGCTACTCGGCCATGGAGACCTATTTCATGAAGATCCCGATGAACAGTTATTGTGCTGACGTTGCTTCCACTCGGTAGTGAGTGTTGCAACTGAGGACAGGCGATTTTTACGCGCTACACGCTTCAGCACTCGGCGGTCCCGTTCTGTGAGCTTGTGTGGCCTACCACTTCGCGGCTGAGCCGTTGTCACTCTTAAATGTTTCCACTTCACAATAGCAGCACTTACAGTTGACTGGGGCAAATCTGACAAACTCACTTGTTGGAAAGGTGGCATCCTATGACAGTGCCATGTTGAAAGTCACTGCTCTTCAGTAAGGCCATTCTAAGGCCAATGTTTGTCTATGGAGATTGCATGGCTGTGTGCTCGATTTTATACACCTGTCAGCAACGGGTGTGGCTGAAATAGCCAAATCCACTAATTTGAAGAGGTGTCCACGTACACATCACATACTATTATTATATATTTTTTATATATTGTATTCTGCATTATTGGGAAGGGCCCATAAGTAAGCATTTCACTGTTAGTCTACACCACTTGTCTACGAAGCATGTGGACAATTAACATTTGATTTGATTCATATTAATAACAAAACCAATGCAATAAACCCAATCAGATGATGCTGAACCTGAGATCAAAAGGCCATAGTCATCTGGACCAGGAATTAGAACTGAAGGACTGATACATCCTGGACTATTCATTCGGTCATAAGAGGCTCTTGAGCAGTACACAGACAAGGAAATAAAGTGATGATTTAGAGGCAAAATACCCCCTTTTCCATAGACATGCTAATGTCATTTACCGGCCTTTCTTAATACAGCGAGCTACATAATTTACATTTACATTTACATCATTTAGCAGACGCTCTTATCCAGAGCGACTTACAGGAGCAATTAGGGTTAAGTGCCTTGCTCAAGGGCACAGAGATTTTTCACCTAGTCGGCTCGGGGATTAGAACCAGCGACCTTTCGGTTACTGGCACAACGCTCTTAACCACTAAGCTACCTGCCGCCCCAATAATGTGTATAAACACATCGACTCCTGCATTTGGAGAGCCACAGATTGGAACTAAAAAGTATAGGCAGAGCAGAGCTATTTGGAGACTCTGGCATTCAGATAAAAGCACTACCCATTGTTGCTTAGTGAAACCCAAGGGCTACATTAGGCAGGCAGGCGGCAGCTTAAAATAACAGACCTGCTGAAGCTCGAACCGCTCAAACGTATCATTTAGTCTCTGAAATAGACATCTCTGAGAGCGAGAGAGAGAGAGAGAGAGAGAGAGAGCTGCTTCCATTTCTTCCTGAGCCTCTCTCTTAATACATCTTATCTGCACCCCCATGCGTTTAAAACTGGACTATCGCCTACCCATTACTACCAGGCTTACGTTTCCCATGTCAGGACTATGAGGGACTACCGCCTGCGATATGTTTTTTTTTTTTTCCATCCTCCTCGATCTATTTCGCATAGCTGGTGTGGCTCCATTTTGAAAACCACAATGATACAACTTGCAGGAAGAACGTAGTGGTTAGAGAAAACCAGCTTTTAATTCTCCATGATCTCAGCCATTTCCCTCTTTATGGCTGCTCATTAGGCAAACCAAGGGAAATGACTAGGATTAATTTCAGGATTATTATTATATATTTTTTTTAAGTGAACATTCCACTAGGTCAGCCTTTTTACCAATTCAAATACTTAATCGAAACCCCAAAAAATTGCTTTTGAACTATACAACAATTTAGCTCTACATTACTTCTCAACCAACTGGTTGATCATGTTTTGACAATGAACAAGATCATATTGTTTGATTGTCAGTTTAACTGATACTAATCAAATGAAAACCTTGAGGTCAACAACATTCCCTGACAGTAGTGCTTAATTTCCACCCGGATGTTTCTATTGGTGCATTGTTGTTTGTTTACCTGTTTAGTTGCTGTGTGTACCCAAGACCAGGGAAGTGTGACAGGTTCAGGTCGACCATGCGCCAGGGGACAGTGATCTCCAGGCTCAAACACAGGATGTAGATGACCAGCAGGGAGATGACACCCAGGAAGCACAGCCCCAGCCTCCTCTTGAGCCCCATGCCCGTCACCGTGGCCCCAAGCCTCGGCAGCTGGCTGCGTGTGTGCCCCCTGCTCTCCACCCTCCCCGGAGGAGGAACATGAGAACTAGGCAGAGGGGGAGGAGGATGGGGGAGTACAGGGGAGGAGGGGAGTCACTGATGTCCTTCTGAAGAGGATGGTTGGGTTTTTCATGGGAGCAACAGGAAAGATATTAGGGCCAGGGGTGGATCTGACTGTTAATTAGTCCACAGGGGTTTTTTGGACACTGCTCCCTCTCACCCCACCACAGTCTGGAGAGAAAAGGACAGACAGCAGAGAGATATCTGTAGCATTTTTTAAATATATTTTTTATAGATGATGTGTGTTCTGTGTACACTTATTAGATTGTGCCAGGCTGTATCTATGTATGCAGAGGTGAGGTATGTTGTGGAGAGAGAGAGAGAGAGAGAGAGAGAGAGAGAGAGAGAGAGAGAGAGAGAGAGAGAGAGAGAGAGAGAGAGAGCGAGAGAGAGAGAGAAACAGCGGAGAGACTGATGGAGAAAGAGACTGACAGAGAGAGAAACGGGAGAGACGGACAGACGGAGAGAGTGAGCGCAACGGAAGAGACGGATGGAGAGAGACTGACAGAGAAACTAGTGAAGAACAAACACCATTAAATACAACCCATATTTATGTTGATTTATTTTCCATTTAAAAGTAAAGATACCTTAATAGAAAAGGACTCAAGTACTGTAAGTCGCTCTGGATAAGAGCGTCTGCTAAATAATGTAAATGTAAATGTAAGTAAAAGTCACCCAGTAAAACACTACTTGAGTAAAAGTCTAAAAGTATTTGGTTTTAAATATACTTAAGTATCAAAAGTAAAATGTAATTGCTAAAATATACTTAAGTATCAAAAGTTAAAGTATAAATAATTTCAAATTCCTTATAGAAAGTAAACCAGACGGATGTTCCTGTCACGCCCTGGCTCGGGGGACTCTCGTATGTTGAGCCAGGGTGTTAGTTTCTATGTTTTGTGTGGTAGGTTGTGGGTCTAGTTTGTATTTCTATGTTGGCCTGAGTGACTCCCAATCAGAGGCAACGAGTGTCAGCTGGTTGTCTCTGATTGGGAGCCATATTTAAACTGTCTGTCTTTCCCTTTGGTTTTGTGGTTTCTTGTTCTTATTTGGTTTGTGTTAAACCGTAGACATCACGTTATCGTCTGTTGTTTTGATCGTGTGATCAGTATAATAAATAATATGTTCACCTTCAACGCTGCGCCTTGGTCCTCCTCCTTAGACGATCGTGACAGTTCCATTGATAAGGGCGTGAATTGGACAATTTTCTTATAAGGAGTACTTTTGGTTGTCAGGGCTAATGTATGGTATTAAAAAGTACATAATTTTCATAGGAATGCAGTGAAGTAAAAGTTGTCCAACATGTAAAGTAAAGTACAGATACCCCAAAAATGACTTAAGTAGTACTTTAAAGTATTTTTACTTAAGTAATTTAAACCACTGGGCAGAATTACTGCCAAATGTACCATTTCTGACAACCCTGCTCAATCCTCAACCAGACAAGAACAAGAGCGTCATGGAAACAACAGGAAACCAGAATCACATCACTACTCTAAGGGCCCTGGTCAAAGCTAGTGCAATAAAAAGGGGATATAAAAAGGGGATAGGGTGCTATTTTGGTTGCATCCAATGTTTTTCCTTCTCATGTTCCCCTCGATGTGATAAACCATAAGGAACGATCTGAAACTCAACAGTTACTCTGGTAGAGTCAAGGCATTAGCATGTCCATGAGACCATACTCCCCCACCTCAATTCTCACCTCACTGACTACAATGACAGGGTAAAGACAGCACAGGGTGGAAAACATGCCATCAGGCACTACATTCTGTTCTGCTAATAACTTATTTGATCTTTAACCAACTAGGCTAGTTAAGTCTCTTAAAGTTATGCTCCATCGTTGAAACATACCAAAATACAATGAATACATCAGTAAAAATGTATCAAACTACTGTAACACAGATGATGGCATCAGATGTCACTGATGTACTTTTCCTGACTTATTCTTCAGTGTTTGTTTGAAGTTAAATGGCCAGGGAATGGAAGGAACTCCTAGATCCTCATTATTAGCCTGTTAGTGAAAACTTTGACATTTAGTGGAGAATAGAGATGAACACTTTCCCTTAAAAGGTCTTAAAGAATATGGATTTTATAAGCTTGGCATTGCTATCACCTTTTGTTCAATTCTGTTAAATAATGATAATAAAATACCTTTTCCCCTTTGATTTATTTCCTAAAAGTATTTTTGGTTTTCCTGAAAGTGGGGGAGAAAAAAAAGCAGCAAACTTTTCATGGTCTTTGTCAAAGTTGAATACATTATGCCCAGTAACAAGTCATGACTACACGCTCCTCACCCTCACAGAAACAGCAAATCGCTACTCTGAGAAAACTCTGTCTCAACAGAAAGCTAAACATAGAAAAGTATTTTAAAATGTCCCCATATCCCCTCACCTGTGACTATTCTTCTTTAGTGGCAGTCCTGTACATAGCAGTACAGTAGAAAATCCTCTACGCCAGAAGAAGTCTTCTTTAACTAAGTAAACTGTAGCGCAGGATACACTCAAGCCTGGCACAGCATGGGCGGGACTATTGTGAAATGAGCAACAGCTGCTGGCAATTGGTCAACCCCCCCCTCGTGTTGTGGAGGAGGGGATAAAGAATGGGGGGGTAACTTCTACGACAGGCTGCAATAAAGTCAGACATGAGAAGACCGCACTACTGGAAAATACTTGCTATGATCACAACGTGTTGAAGCTTGAATCATAGCCTAGCTTACAGTGACAGTCAAGATGGCTGAGCCCCTCGCACACACAAACCTGCACGCACACATGACATCAATAAACACAAACAAAAGGCCCTTGAATGAGTGTTCTCTCCTCGTCAAAGACAGCAGCCGTCTGCTTTTTAATCAGACACACTGGAGACTTCAAGTCTCCTCATTTCCACACAGAGCGAAGAGAGGTTATCAGTAGTCACCCTTTGGCCCTCCCGCCCCAAAATGTATGGGTCCTCTCCCCTCCCCCATCTTCTCTTTCACAAGCCCAGTCAGCAGGGACCTTGGAGCGAAGTGAAAGCTCTCCGTCTCTGTGTGTGAGCAGAAATCAGTTCATAGGCTGTCCTAGTCTAGTTCTCGTGGTATGGCTTCCTCTCTGGAAAGAAATGAGAAAACCTACAGAAAGCAAATGCATTTCAGTACGCACCACCGGTTGCTTTAGTAGTCAGGAGTGAATGAGAGAGCTAGCTAGAGGGCAAAGAAGAAGTGGAAGGAAAGTGGGTCAGTAGTCTAGTCAGCTACAGACGTCTTTCCAGCCGTATGGAAACGACAACCCTTTAGGAGTTTTGACCTCTCCAGATATGAGTGTAAGACATCAATGCCTTACTGATGGTTGTAAACAAACATACCCTACAGTAAATGATGATTTTAACATTTCAGGCACGTAAATGTATTGGATTTATTCACCACAAAATAACTGCAATTCCAGTTAATCAAAATAGACGCCCAATTCGTAAGGTCATGGAATGGCATTTGATTGGTTGAGGAAATGTTTTCTAGATGAGTTATCGTCTCGGAGACGGAGAGACGAAACAAGAGAGCTATTGTTTGTTTTCCCACTGTGACTATAAAGACAAGAGACTCTGGGACTCTTCCACTGTGACTATAAAGACAAGAGACTCTGGGACTCTTCCAAATAGGCTTTTCTTTTCTTTATTCACTTTTTACTGAGGATCAGTCAACATTTTTTTCTCCCACAGTTTTCGAACAATCACCATGAATAACAATGCAACTAAACCTAGTTAAGATTCAGACCAAGAGCTACAAGTAAGAACACATGGGGATACATTAAAACGACAATATATAAAAAACGGAACATAAAAATAATACAATCAAAAGACAGCTGGAGTGGTTTGTGTAGAAAGTCAGATTTCAAATTCAACACAAATGAAGGGTACAAGTGAGAGCGAGAGTGTGTGTGCCATGGGGGTCATCCCAGATCAAAGTGAACCACAAAGGCAGGACTCATTGGCACGTGTGGGACTGGCATGCAAGCCATGCTGCCACCCTTCTGGGCAAAGAGGCCAACAACCCTGGATGCAGTGCTAACTGTCTGAGGAATGGTAGGGATCAAGGCTGTGCCCGCAATGGGACCCTATTTCCTATTTAGTGCACTAGTTTTGACCAGAGCCTATGCGGGCACTTGTCAAAAGTAGTGCAGTATATTTGGAATAGGGAGCCAATTCCACATGCAAACCATGTCATCTCTACCATGGCTGGCCTCCGCCTCTCCCCCATAAAGAAATACATACATCCCCAATGACACCCTATTCCCTATATAGTGCACTACTGGTCAAAAGTAGTGCACTATATAGAAAATAGGGTGCCATTTGGGATGTAACCAATGACTAATAACTGATTAAAGATGAGAGAAATATGTGTTAACTGGCGTTCAAAGCCTTGCCATTGAATTGCTTCTGTGATACTGAATAGAAGAGTGGAATTTTGTGTGTCTGAAGTTTGGGAATATTTGTGAATTGTTGGAAGTTGTCCGCCTCCACTAAATAGGATGAGGAGAGACAGTATGTGACAGTGCTGCCATTGTTGAGCCTTCACTGTCAGAAATCATGTAGCTACTAGCTAAACCTCCCACAACTGAAAACCCAAGAACACACTAGGCTAAAAAAGCGACACTAGACCCATATCTCACACTCCAAGGAAGCCGTAATATTGGCTTTGACACTATATCCTCTATATTTCACATCAGCAAAACCTGACAAACTAAACACATACCATCCTAAATAAAATGGCACCATCGAGCATCACTAACTGTACAGCTCAGACTGGACGTGGATTTGTAGTGTTTCTGTGAATGAAAAGGTACACAAGCACTATCTTGGAATAGGGCTGCTTGCATTGTAATCAATAAGAGAAAATTCCAAACTTCCACTTAAGTTCACTTAGTCATGCATTGATGTCAAAATTCGACTTTAGTTTTTGTTAGGATTCACCCCTAAGTCCTTCAACCCGTCACTTTGTGCACAGCACTTGTATGTAAAGGATAAACACACCGGGAGTCAGTTACGAGAGCATCAGATCAGACGGTAAAATAAATGTAAAAATAGCAAATAAATATGAAAAATAGAACACATCTGAAATTTGTGTCACATGCCCACCCCCAACTCCCTACTATTCAGGATATGGAGTTACCCAGAAGTCCACTGTTTCAGATTGAAAATTAAAACTCTAAACAGTTTCTAGTTTCTGAATGGCACATTCCAAACATTTCACTTTTTAAAGGGGTAAACAAATAAAAAGCATAAAAGTATCAGCAGGACGGAACGTTCAGATAGATATACAGCGCCTTTGGAAAGTATTCAGACCCCTTGACTTTTTCCACTTTGTTACGTTACAGCCTTATTCTAAAATTGATTAAATTCATGTTTCCCTCATCAATCTACACACAATAACCCATCATTATAATGTGAATACCAGTTTTTAGAAATTTTAGCAAATGTATAAACATTTAAAAACAGAAATACCTTTTTCCATAAGTATTCAGACCCTTTGCAATGAGATTTCAAAATTGAGCTCAGGTGCAACCTGTTTCAATTGATCATCCTTGAGATGTTTCTACAACTTGATTGGAGTCCACCTTTGTTACATTTAATTGATTGGACATGATTTGGAAAGGCACACACCTGTCTATATAAGGTCCCACAGTTGACAGTGCATGTCAGAGCAAAAACCAAGCCATGAGGTCGAAGGAATTGTCCGCAGAGCTCCGAGACAGAATTGGGTCGAGGTACAGATCTGGGGAAGGGTACCAAAAAAATTATGCAGCATTGAAGGTCCCCAAGAACACGGTGGCCTCCATCATTCCTCAATGGAAGAAGTTTGGAACCACCAAGGCTCTTCCTAGAGCTGGCCGCCCGGCCAAACTGAGCAATCGGGGGAGAAAGGCCTTGGTCAGGGACGTGACCAAGAACCCGATGGTCACTCTGACAGAGCTCCAGAGTTTCTCTGTGGAGATGGGAGAACCTTCCAGAAGGACAACCATACATTTACATTTTAGTCATTTAGCAGACGCTCTTAACCAGAGCGACTTACAGGAGCAATTAGGGTTAAGTGCCTTGCTCAAGGGCACATTAACGTCATTTAGCAGACGCTCTTAGCCAGAGCGACTCACAAATTGGTGCGTTCAACCATCTCTGCAGCACTCCACCAAATCAGGCCCTTATGGTAGAATGGCCAGATGGAAGCCACTCCTCAGTAAAAGGCACATGACAGCCCGCTTGGAGTTTGCCAAAAGGCACCTAAAGGACTCTGACCATGCGAAACAAGATTCTCTGGTCTTACAAAACCAAGATCAAACTCTTTGGCCTGAATGCTAAGTGTCACGTCTGGAGGAAACCTGGCACCATCGTTATGGTGAAGCATGGTGGTGGCAACATCATGCTGTGGGGATGTTTTTCAGCCGCAGGGACTGGGAAACTAGTCAGGATCGAGGGCAAGGTGAACGGAGCAAAGTGCAGAGAGATTCTTGATGAAAATCTACTCCAGAGCGCTCAGGACCTCAGACTGGGATGAAGGTTCACCTTCCAACAGGGCAACAACCCTAAGCACACAGCCAAGACAATGCAGGAGAGGCTTCGGGACAAGTCTCTGAATGTCCTTGAGTGGCCCAGCCAGAGCCCGGACTTGAACCCAATCTAACATCTCTGGAGAGACCTGGAAATAGCTGTGCAGCAACACTCCCCATCCAACCTGACAGAGCTTGAGAGGATCTGCAGAGCAGAATGGGAGAAACTCCCCAAATACAGGTGTGCCAAGCTTGTAGCATCATACCCAAGAAGACTAGAGGCTGTAATCGCTGCCAAAGGTGCTTCAACAAAGTTCTGTGTAAAGGGTCTGAATACTTATGTAAATTTGATATTTCAGTTTATTTTATTTATATACAGTGAGGGAAAAAAGTATTTGATCCCCTGCTGATTTTGTACGTTTGCCCACTGACAAAGAAATGATCAGTCTATAATTTGAATGGTAGGTTTATTTGAACAGTGAGAGACAGAATAACAACAAAAAAATCCAGAAAAACGCATGTCAAAAACGTTATAAATTGATTTGCATTTTAATGAGGGAAATAAGTATTTGACCCCTTCTCAATCAGAAAGATTTTTGCCTCCCAGGTGTCTTTTATACAGGTAACGAGCTGAGATTAGGAGCACACTCTTAAAGGGAGTGCTCCTAATCTCAGCTTGTTACCTGTATAAAAGACACCTGTCCACAGAAGCAATCAATCAATCCGATTCCAAACTCTCCACCATGGCCAAGACCAAAGAGCTCACCAAGGATGTCAGGGACAAGATTGTAGACCTACACAAGGCTGGAATGGGCTACAAGACCACCGCCAAGCAGCTTGGTGAGAAGGTGACAACAGTTGGTGCGATTATTCGCAAATGGAAGAAACACAAAATAACTGTTAATCTCCCTCGGCCTGGGGCTCCATGCAAGATCTCACCTCGTGGAGTTGCAATGATCATGAGAACGGTGAGGAATCAGCCCAGAACTACACGGGCAGGATCTTGTCACTGATCTCAAGGCAGCTGGGACCATAGTCACCAAGAAAAACAATTGGTAACACACTGCGCCGTGAAGGACTGAAATCCTGCAGTGCCCACAAGGTCCCCCTGCTCAAGAAAGCACATATACAGACCCGTCTGAAGTTTGCCAATGAACATCTGAATGATTCAGAGGAGAAACTGGGTGAAAGTGTTGTGGTCAGATGAGACCAAAATCGAGCTCTTTGGCATCAACTCAACTCGCCGTGTTTGGAGGAGGAGGAATGCTGCCTATGACCCCAAGAACACCATCCCCACCGTCAAACATGGAGGTGGAAACATTATGCTTTGGGGGTGTTTTTCTGCTAAGGGGACAGGACAACTTCACCGCATCAAAGGGACGATGGACGGGGCCATGTACAGTCAAATCTTGGGTGAGAACCTCCTTCCCTCAGCCAGGCATTGAAAATGGGTCGTGGATGGGTATTCCAGCATGACAATGACCCAAAACACACGGCCAAGGCAACAAAGGAGTGGCTCAAGAAGAAGCACATTAAGGTCCTGGAGTGGCCTAGCCAGTCTCCAGACCTTAATCAAATAGAAAATCTGTGGAGGGAGCTGAAGGTTCGAGTTGCCAAACGTCAGCCTCAAAACCTTAATGACTTGGAGAAGATCTGCAAAGAGGAGTGGGACAAAATCCCTCCTGAGATGTGTGCAAACCTGGTGGCCAACTACAAGAAACGTCTGACCTCTGTGATTGCCAACAAGGGTTTTGCCACCAAGTACTAAGTAATGTTTTGCAGAGGGGTCAAATACTTATTTCCCTCATTTAAAATGCAAATCAATTTATAACATTTTTGACATGCGTTTTTCTGGATTTTTTGTTGTTATTCTGTCTCTCACTGTTCAAATAAACCTACCATTAAAATGATAGACTGATCATGTCTTTGTCAGTGGGCAAACGTACAAAATCAGCAGGGGATCAAATACTTTTTTCCCCTCACTGTGTGTGTGTGTATATATATATATATATATATATATGCAAGAATCTGTTTTTGCTTTGTCATTATGAGGTATTGTGTGTAGATTGATGACAAAAACAAAACAATTAAATTCATTTTAGAATAAGGCTGTAACGTAACAAAATGTAGAAAAAGTCAGGGGTCTGAATACTTCCGAATGCACTGTGTATATCTATATGTGAAAATGTCATTAACCAGTTGAATAGTTCCTTCCCATGGGTGTTTAGGGGCTAGTTTACTTCTGTTGAGTTGAGGGGCCCAGTGTGGGACCCTTTCAGTGAGAGTTAGATGTATTTTTGTCACAGACTACCATCCTATCAGACCCACCAGGCTCTTGGGGCTTTTAGCTTTGGGTCTCTGGTCACATGAAACCACTAGGCTTGCCTTGTGTCGTGCCTCCCTCTCCACCCCCCATGCCCCACTCAGTCCCAGTCTCAGCTTTCCTAATCCTTTAAACACTTCCTATGCGCATTCCTTCAATCACCCTCTCCTTCGCTCTCTCCCCCCTTCTTTCTGCCTCACTTTCAAAACCCTCAAAAACTGAAACCATGACTCTCAACAACACCAAACACGCTATCAGAGTATCATTCCTCATTGTCTCCTATCCGTAGATTTTTTCAGCATCCCACAATTACTCACCATTTCCTTCTATTGACGTCCTATACAACTTCTCTACACCAAGATTAGTATTATTTCTAGACTCGACTTTGATGAAGACACTCATAACAAACCTGCCTATCAGAGCTAAACTAGGCTTGTGACTGCCAGGGGGGCAGGAGCGAAGGGTGTGACTGTGATTGAGTGAGTGACTGTGTGTGTGTGTGTGTGTGTGTGTGTGTGTGTGTGTGTGTGTGTGTGACTGTGATTGAGTGAGTGACCGTGTGTGTGTGTGTGTGTGTGGTGTGTTGTGTGTGTGTGTGTGTGTGTAGGAGAGGGGTGGGGGGGCCGCACCAAGCCAAGGCAGCAGTTCCTATAATTAGCACTAGCCAGAGGGGCACCGGGACAAAAAGACATCTGTAACTCACACACAAAGGGCAACCGCCGAGCACCTCGAGCCCCAGCTTCATTCAGCAGCACTCTCTACAGACGTGTCGGAACGACTGACTGCAGGACCTCAGCAGGGAAGAGGGTGGTTTGGGGTGCTGATTCCTTCCCCTCCTCCTCAGAACGACCACATAGACCCCTCCACCTCTCTCTGCCTGCTCGGAAAACTTCACACTGTCACAGAGCAGGCCCTGGGCTGGCTTAGAACATCTGGAACTGTGTTCTCTTCTCCATGGCAGCAGCCTTGTCTCTGCTCTGTGGGGAACGGGGGTGGGGGGGGGGGGGGGGCTCTCCAGCTCCTTCAGATTTTAGGGGGGTTCACAATCTATATAAATTCCAGAGGTGGTTGCAGAGAATGGTTCAGTCTGTCCAGGAGTCCACTGGGCAGTTAAAGAAACACAGCCCTCCCGGTCCATGGCCCATATGGGGACAGAATGGTTCTGTCCGTCCACTGCTTACTGTTTGAGCCTCTGCACTGTAAACGATCACTGCCCCCCTAGTCTATAAATCTCTGTAGGGAGAGAATGGTTCAGTGCTTCCAGGAGTCCACTGGGCCTCTGGGCAGTTAAAGATCACAGCACCCCTGGTCTGTGGCTCCTCCAGCCTGAGAGGCGCTTTAAAACAGCAGACGGCATCCTCTCCAGCCTGTTTCCCTGGCCGTATTCGGCCTGCTTGGGAGAGGCCAGTCTCTAATCTCTGGGGCTTTATCAAGAAGCCTACGGAGATACAGTCAGCAGGCTCCATTTCTCCCTCGCTCTCTCTTTCTAGTCTATCAGAAACATATCCACCAGACCAAAGAAAAAAACAGAGGGAAAAGAGGGGCCCCAAGTGACAGAATGAATGAAGGAGTGAGGGGAAGAGAAAAGAGGAAAAGGTGGAGATGGTGGTGTTCAAGTCCTGCCTCCTGTCAGTCACTTCTCCAGCAGCTGCTTTCCCTCTGCTGTTCCAATAGGGCCTCCAGGTGGTCCCGCCCTCTTCAGAGCAGCCTATGAAAGGAGAACGGCGGGGTTTAACAGAGCTATCAATCATTTCTCACGCCCCGAACTCAGTTCCTTTCAATCCCTCTCCAATGTTAACTTAGTGTAAACCCCTGTCTCCGTAGTCCCAAACGGTGAGTTATTCCCCCTATTGGCTCTGGTCAAAAGTAGTGCACTATAAAGGGAATAGGGTGCTCTTTGGGACCCAGACTAGGACTCACCTCATGCTGCTTCCCTCAGGCTAGCCACAGTCCTCTTCCTTTTTCAAGATGGCTGACTTCACCCTGCCAAAACAAGAGAGAAGAAACATAAGGAAAAATAACATTGTTTAGGCATTGGAGATGACTTTCTCCTTTCGCTGTTATTTCAAATTTCTTTTTTATTTACATCCTACACTACCGACTGAATCACAGTCTCATTATACAGGAAACAAACAGACAACAGTCTGTGCCCAGCTATTCTAGAACAGTGTAAATACTGGTGATTAAATTGACATTGCCACAGTTAGCCCATTGAGGTCTTTCCCAAGGGAGACCTGGCTATAATACCATCACACAAGATCCTCTCCTTCTATCCCTCTCCTCTCTTCTCACTCTATCCCCCTCCCCTCCTCTCCTCTCACTCTATCCCCTCTCCTTCACTCTATCCACCTCCTCTCCTTCTATCCCTCCCCCTCTCCTTCTATCCCTCTCCCCTCTCCTTCTATCCCTCTCCCTCTCCTACTCCCTCTCCTCTCCCTCCATCCTCACCGGTTGATGGGACCTCTGCCAGCTCCCTCCTCCTTCTCCTGATGACCCATCTCGACCTCCAGCCTTAGCCTAGCCCCTGACCTCCGACGTCTCAATCTTCATCCTCCTGTTCTCATCCTCCGTCACGATGAGTCCTTTCAGCAAACTCCTGCCTGATCACCTCTGCCAGGCTGGCGACGCTCCTCGACAGCTTGTCACGGATCTGGAGAGGAGAGAGAAAGAGAGAGAGGGGAGGGGACGGGAGAGAGACAGGGAGAGGGATATGGGATAGAGGGACAGGGGTGAGAAAGGGTTTTAACATGGGCATCATTGACCTAGATAAGTCACCTTACAGTCTTGGACCAATATCCACCAACACATATTTATCCAGCCATATCCACCAACATGTATTTATCCAGTCATATCCACCAACACATATTTATCCAGCCATATCCACCAACACGTATTTATCCAGCCATATCCACCAACATGTATTTATCCAGTCATATCCACCAACATGATTACCACATATGTTTCCTTGCAAAAGTATTCATCCCCCTTGGCGTTTTTCCTATTTTGTTGCATTACAACCTGTAATTTAAATTGATTTTTATTTGGATTTCATATAATGGAAATACACAAAATAGTCCAAATTGGTGAAATGAAAAAATAAATAAAAAAAAATAATGAAAAAACGGAAAAGTGGCGCATGAATATGTATTCACCCCCTTTGCTATGAAGACCCTAAATAAGATCTGGTGCAACCAAATACCTTCAGAAGTCACAGGGGAGCTCTGCTTCTAGTGGTTTACCCTCTGCCCTACGGCAGCAGCAGCCTGAGACAAAATTATGCACACACCTACAGCCAATGGAGTACAGGTGTCCCTATAAGAGGGGATGCCTCCCCTCAATCAGCCTCCCGAGATATTTTTCTTCAGCGAGACTAGAGAGGGTCGGCAGGCCTTAAGTCCTATGGGGCTCCGCTCCACTCATAGAACTGGAGTTACACTCCGGTAACTAATCGTTCTATATCGTGGAGCTCTGCTCCTAGTGGTTTAAGGCGGAGCGTAGCGCTCCAAAATGTACTCCCTGCCGAGCCTAACACTTCCCATCGAAACGAGAAAGTCAGGCCTAGCAATGGCTGCAACCGAGTCCCGCAGTACTGCAACTAAAAACCCCTACGGGCGTCACAATATACCGCGTCATCGGTTAAAGACCCGCCCCACCTAGTCCAATGGCAATGCCAATGACTAGTGGGCAGATCACCAGAATAGAAGCCATACTAATCTGTACTAGCAGATAGATGTGCCTCATATCCTGTGAAAACACTACCGACCACTAATGGAATGACACCAAGTGTCACCTACATTGAAACAGAAGGATATTGGGTGGGGGGGGGTTTTAGGGGGAAAAAAAACAAGGGGTGAGAAAGGGTTTTTTAAAACTTTTGGCATTCATTTGGACCAAAAAAAAAGATAAAATTTTTTCCACCCCTTAAAACCAGTTCCCCCTTTTGGAACCCAAAAAAAAAAAAATTTTTTTTTTTTTTTTTTTCCCAAACCAAAAAAAAAAAACCCAAATTTTTTTTTTAAAAATAAAAAAAAAAGTCCCGCTTTAAAATTTTTTTTCCACCCCGCCCCCTTTTAATAACCCAAATGAACCCCGGTCAAACCAAATACCTTGAAAAGGGGATTCTCCCCCGGGGGTTTTTTTTTTCCTAGGCTTTAAAACCCGGGAAAATTTAACATTGTTTTTTAGGATTTTCCCCTATGGGGGGGGAAACCCCCCCCCAATACCCCAAATTTGTTTAAAAAAAAATAAAGGGTGGCGCCTTAAATTTTTTCCCCCTTTGGGGCGCCCTAAATAAAAACTGGGCACCCAAAAAACCTTTCAAAACCCGGGGAGCTTTTGTTTCTAGGGTTTAACCCCCCCGGAGGAGCCCCTCCAAAATTAACCCCCCTCCCGGAGTAAAAATTCCCATAAGGGGGAAAGTCCCTAAAATCCCTCCCGATTTTTCCCGCAACTGAACTAAAAACCCCTAGGGCCCCGTCCCTAAAAAACCCGGTTTTCATTCCGGGTTTAAAGCCCCCCCCCTTTTTTAAGGCAATCCCCAAAAATGTATTGGGCCAATTCCCAGAAAAAAAAGCCCACCGGGCTGCAAAGACCCCCCCAAATACTGAAAAAAAACCCCCTCCGAAAAAAAAAAAAAAAAAAAAAAAAAAAAAAAACAAAAAAAAAAACCAAAAAAAAAAAAAAAAAAAAACCCCCCACTAATGGAAGACACCAATTCACTCTACATTGAAAACGCGGTAAAACCGCCTCACTCACCTCAAGGGAATCCCGAGATTATTGGGCGGGAAACCCCAAAAACATGAGTCATTTTAACTGAACAACAATAGTTTAAAACCTCCCTTCTTTTAAATCAACGCATGCCCTCGGGTCGGGACCCTGTCAGTCGGGAAATTCCCATGCCACAAAATATTTTTTCCCTTACCCAAAAGCGGACCCTGAGGAAAACCCCTTTGCCATAGCCCCTGTTTTTCCCTCTTTTCCTATTCAAGATCCCCTTCAGCTATTTGATAAAAACCCGACCCAAAAAGATTTTAAAAAACACATCTGTAAAAAACATGTCTTCCTAACCAAAGCGGACCTGAGGGGAAACCTGTGTCCACAGTCCTCTTTTTCCCCCTCTTTTTTGGGCCCAAAAAGACCCTCCCTTCAGCCCCCCTGAGTACAAAACAGCCAGAAAATTAGAAGCCCATACAAAGAATAAAAAGGGAAATAAATGGGGGGGGGGGCGCCCGACCGGGAAAATGCTGCTCTCCCGATATCCTTAACTTTTTTTTCCCCCTAAAAAGGGAAAGAAAGAAGCCGCTACTCCACGAGTGGAGTGACCTTCTGAACCCTGAGGAAATTGCCCCCCGGGGCTCCCTCATAACTTCTCAATGCCTCCCCAAAGCCAATGAGCCCAACCTCTTTTTGGGAAGGGTCTACCCTATTCCCACCCCCCAAAAAACCCGTGCCCAAAAAAACAACTAAAGGCGAGGCCCCTAATCGCTGCTGTCCCCTTCGCGCCCCAACCCCAAAAAGGGGTTTTACCGGGCACGGGCGTTTGGAGTTTTTCCCTTTTCCCCTTTCCTCCCCCTCTTTATGAGGGGGAAAAAAAACCCCACACCCTCCAGGGTCTGTGCCAAATATGCCTCTTAAAAACCCTTTCGGAAAAAAATGCCGGGTTGGGACGAACACTCTTTTTTGGCTCTGTCACCCCATTGAGGGGCCCAAGCTCGGGTTCTCGTCAAAGACCCCAAAAACAATCACTGACCCCGCTTAGCTGTAGTAAAAGCAGCCCAGTGCGGGGTCTTTTAGACGAAATCTTAGGGGTTTTTATTCAAGGTTCCAAAACGGCGCCCTTAAACCATACGTTTTCGGGGTCCCCAAAAGCCAACCCCCACTGGGGAAAGGGGCTCTATTTTGGCCAAAGTCGCCGCTTCCTAATAGGAAGCTTTTCCCAGAGGGTCCCAAAAGACATTGTCTTTTGCCAAAACCCTCTGACAAGCTGAACCCCGCTTGCAAACACTCTAATCGTGGCGGCATTTTTGCTTATCAAACATAAAGCTGTAGAAAAGAGAGAATACTTTTCCACCTGACAGCTCAGGGGGTCTAAAATTTGGTGACCCCCAACCCTTTTTTTAAAACACTTTCCATCTTTTGCATACACCCTTAAAAAAAGGGGAAACTGGCACTTGAACCCTGTTGGTTTCCTGATCATTTTGGAAATCAAAATTAACCCCGGCCCCCTAGCCTGTCCCTTTTCCAGCACCCCCCTTCAGGGGTTGGGCCCGATTGGGGGAAATTTCCCAAATCGTGCCCCGCCTGAGAAAAAGGGGCCCCGCCCGACGGGGGAAAGGGGGCCCCAAGGTGGCGCATCAAACCTTTTTACCTCTCCCCAAACCAAAGGGAGCCCCCGGGCGATCGGGCGCTATCATTACCCATTTCCCAACCCCCCCTGCCCCTCCCACCCTGTTAGATGGGAGAATGAAAGGCCGCGGGGGGAAATGCATACGGGAAACTCTCGGCCATTTTTGGGTGCGAAAAGGCGCCCCTTTTCCCCCAGGGGCGGTTCGTCCTTTTCCCCCCCTCTAGAAAACCCAGGGGGACTTTGCGCGTTCAGGGCGTAAAACAAAAAAGGGGTCCACCTGGGCTCCCCCCCGAATTTTTTCCCAAAATCTGGAAAACAATTCGGGAAATCGACCCCCATTTCTTTCGTCTCGAGGCCCCCCCTTTTTGGACTTTGAGGCCCGGGCCCCTACGTTCAAGTACCCCGGAATGTGGGGCTGTTTCTAAAATGAGCAAACCCTCCCCTTTTGAGCCCACAGCCAAATTCCTCTGGGGGCCCCCCCGATGGAAAAACAGGAGCCCTGACCCTTTCCCTGGCCTTGTTGTGGGTTTTAAACTTGTGGTCCGGTTGCCCTCCAAAACCACCCAAAAAATCCGCCCCCCCCGAAGGGTAGACGGGGAAGGGGGGGGTCAAAAATTCAAACCCTTTTCCCAAACCCCCGGGGGTTTTTATGTACAACCTATTGAGGCCCCAAAACCCCCTATCGCTTGTGTCGACATTTCCCCCCCCCCACCCCCCCGCCGCCCCAGGGCCCCATCCCCGTCCAATAACCCTGGGGATTGAGGGAAAACCTTTTCCCCTTTCCCAAATGGGGGACTTTCCGGGGCGGGGAAAAGCGCTTTTTTTCCCCAAATATTTGGGTCTCCCTGGCGAGAGGGGAACCACCCCCAAACCCCGAAAACGTTGACGCAATGGGTCTAGTTTTAGGGGGCAACCTCGCTGCATCCTGCCATATGCAGGATCCCGGGGAAACCCCACATAGGGGGCCCTGACGACATGAACCCAAAAGTGACATATCGCAGCGCCGCCCACCTTGTGATTGGGCCCGGACACCCCTTAGGGCTAGAAAACCCAAGGCTACCCCCCGGGGGTCCGAGTTTGGGGCCCTCATCCTCACAGTGTCTACGGTATCCCCAGGTGAAAATTGATGATTTGGGCCGGGGCCTTTTTTCCAATTCACAGAAAACCCCCAGACTTGTGAGACTCGGGGGCTGTGTTTGGGGGAAAAAATCGCCACTCTGCTGACGGGGCGAGAACCAGTTTTTCGTCCGGGGAGGCTAGTACCCGTTTCCCCCCTGACACGCAGGGTTCCCAAAATGCCGCCCCCCCAAAACCCTTGGAAAATGGGGGCGAGTCCCCAGGGCGTCCCCAAAAATGGCATCCTCGTGTATTCGTACCCCCCCCTTGAAAGGCGAAAAACCCCAGAAACTTCCTTTTGACGCGGCGAAAACCCGGGACCTGAAAATACGCGTCCTTTAGGGCTATGCTCGTACCCCAAATCCCCTCTCTGGAAAACCCTTCCAGCGACGTTTTTTTCGTTTGCAAATTTGGAAAGGGGCCGTTTGGTTTTTGCTCCCCCGTTGGAATGCCCTAAATCCAAAAACGCCTCATTCCCCCCCCGTCTTTTTTGGGCCCTGGAAAAAGGCAAAATAGCCCTTTTTTCCTTTTCTCCCGGGGAACTACTTCACCCCTCCCCCCTTCGCCAAAAATTCCGTAATCTCTGGCATCAAGCGGCCACTTTTTCCCGGCGTTTTCCCCACCGTCTCCACCCCTTCCCCCGCCGGGGGGGGGGGTCGCGGGGAATTGTAGGGCAAAAAACCCCTTTTGCAAAACGTCTGTTTCTAAGCCGCCCTTAGAGGGTGCAGGCCTTTTTTCCCCACTGCCAGCAATGCAGGAAAGCGGGGGGGGCGCGAAACTGGGGGGCATCCAGGAGGGAAAGGCCTGTATTCCCCCCCCTAATGGGCCCCCTTCCCCCCACTGTTCCCCAACATTGAAGTGGTGGAACAGCCCAAGGTGGGCCTCCCGTGAAAGGAGAGGAACTATCGATGCGTTCTGAGAAAGAAAAAGAGGAGTAGGGACGTCGGTTTAAAACCCGTAACCGTCGTATTCCCTGCCCTCCTTGAACGCATCGCGGGTGCTGAATTGCGCTGACCGAGGCCACAGCCTGCGGCAGGGCACCATCCCCAGCAAGCAATTGCGTCATCTTAGGTGACTGCAATTCGCTATCAGAGCCCTTCACTACAGTACTCCTAGAAGTCTGTAGTATGAGGTCTCTATGAGGTAAAACAAGGCGGCGCCTTGATACCTTCTTGACTTTCACCTTCTGTGTGTGTTCAACACGGCACCCCTGGTGGGTTGATTCACGCTCAGTGTGGTGATGAGTACTGGCTCGTTCTGTCAGGGGAGCTGATACTTTGGTTATACCCATAACGCTAGTAATCCTGCCCTCCGTGAACGTAGCATGGGTCTGAATCGCTTTAACCGAGACCTTGGTCTGTGATAATGCGCCGTCCCCAGATAGCTGCTGTGTTACAATGCCTGGGGGTGCCGATACTCTGGGCACCTTGGTGACCGCGGTAATCGGGCCCTCCGTGAACGCAGCATGGGTCTGGCTCGTACTAGTGGAGACCTTAGTCTGTGCTAGTGCGCCATCCCCAAATAGCGGCTGCGTCCTCATGTCAGAATCTGACCGGACTGCTGCCTTCTATGTAAAGCACTTCTTATACGTGAAGTGTGATGTGACGACTGATTGAGGTCTTCTGGATACCTACTCTTAGTGCCTGTTCAGCAACGCACCCTCGTTGGGCTGAACGGTTCTTAGAGTGGTAAGGAAGAGAGGGTGAGATTGAACGCTCTCGGACGTATTATGGAAAAGAGGCTCTTTTTTGACAAAGTCAGGTGGAGCCAACTCTTTATTAAACACATCAACAAAGGCATTAACATCAACACCCATCCCTTCAACCGAAGGGTGGGGGGGAACAGTGGGCACGTTCGACACCATCGATGCGTCCCTCCATCCTCTCCCCCGCGTCCCGTCACGTACGCCTCCTCTTGCCTCCCTTGAGGGCCAGGTCGGCGTCCTCGTCACCCTCCCTCGCCGGCTGTAGTGGGGCTACCGTAGCTGCTGGGAGGGCCGGGCCCATTCCCTGCTGCTCGTGGCCGCCGGATGACGCCGATTACGCCGCCTCGTCGTAGACCCCGGTCTACTTAGAGGGGCGGAGGTAGATGGCCTTTGGGGAGGAGGGGGGCCGAGTCGTCCTGCCAACGGCAGGTGCTTGGCCAACTGCTTCTTCTCCTCCTCCCAACTTAGAGAAACGCTCCGTCGCCTCTTTGACTGCGACCCCAAAGAGGCCGTCGTCAGAGAGGGGGGCGTTCAAGAGAGACGTCCTGTCTGCCTCTTTCATGGATGTCAATGACAACCAGAGGTGTCGTTCCCCGACCACCGAAGTGGCCATGGATCTCCCCGCGCAGACTGCGGACGCCTGTGTCAGGTGGAGTATGGCGCCAGAAATTCTGGACGCCTCCTCCACCTCCTCCGGTGCCATCTCTGTCTTACCCGTGGTTAACGGGACAGAGAGGCCGCCAAGAGGGCAATGTTGTTAGCTGCTGCTACAGCTTGGGCTCCCAACCCAAAAGACTTCTCTAACAGCTGTGCTGTGAGTCGGTCCTTCTGGGATGGCAACGTGGCCTTCTTGGAAGAGGGCCAAGGGCTCGAACCCGGTACGAGATACGCCGCCATGGCGCTCTCTAACCTGGGGATTCCCTGACCCTGAAACCTTCCTTCCACTCTCGTGAATGGGAGATACGCTTTTACAGGCGAACGCGCCGCTAAAGGTGCCTCCCACGAGCCCTCAACGTACCTAGCCAAAAAGGCATGGCAGGAGCCACTGGCTCTGCCGCCTTCCTTGGCCTGGAATAAGGACCGCCCTCCATCATATCAACCTCCGGTGCGGAGGGAAGATGGGGGCAGCCTTATTACCAGCCGTTGAGCAGCTCTCTCAATGAGACCCGGAAAGTCCGATCTCAGAGAGGCTGCAGCGAAAGAGAGAGCTTCTGATCTCTCAGAGCTCGTATCCCCTTCGCTATAGGGACTACAAGCCCTCTCGCTCTCCAAAGGAAAGGGGGGGCTTGAAAGTATGAGGGACGGGGTCCGACTGTTCCATTGGAATGCCAGACCCTTCCTCAAAGTCCCTATCTTCCCCCAAGTCTGCGCCGTCGGACGACGCCTCTGAAGCAGAGGCTAGTATCGACAGCACATCCTCAAGGGGGATGTCCTCCCTGAAAAACGCCCAACGCTGCTTCCTCTCCTTTAAAGAAAGGAGGGCGCAGGAGGCGCAATTCGGGGGACTGCAGACGCCTTCCTTGGCATGCTGGGATCCCAAACACACGAAACATAGGTCGTGGTGGTCACCGGCCGCCATGGAAGTGCATCTGCACTGAGCTCTGAAAAGAGCTTTTGGGGGTGGAAAATCTCCCGGTGTGCTCATTTAGACGACGTTGATGACTGGAATATCAACGGCGTTTTCGTCCTGAGTCTTCGTGCTTCGTCTCTTCTTGGCTCTTCAGTCTAGTCATCCAGTCGCTGAAGAAAAAGGGAGGCTGATTGAGGGGAGGCATCCCCTCTTATAGGGACACCTGTACTCCTATTGGCTGTAGGTGTGTGCATAATTTTGTCTCAGGCTGCTGCTGCCGTAGGGCAGAGGGTAAACCACTAGGAGCAGAGCTCCCCTATGGGGCGGAGCTCCACGATATAGAACTGCCAAGAGAGGGCAGCCCACCAAAACTCACGGACCAGGCAAGGAGGGCATTAATCAGAGGCGCAACCAAATATAATCCTGAAGGAGCTGCAAAGCTCCACAGCGGATATTGGAGTATCTGTCCATAGGACCACTTTAAGCCGTACACTCCACAGAGCTGGGCTTTACGGAAGAGTGGCCAGAAAAAAAGCCATTAATTAAAGAAAAAAATAAGCAAACACGTTTGGTGTTCGCCAAAAGCCATTTTGGAGACTCCCCAAACATATGGAAGAAGGTACTCTGGTCAGATGAGACTAAAATTGAGCTTTTGGCCATCAAGGAAAACGTTATGTCTGGCGCAAACCCAACACCCTCTCATCCCCCCAAGAACGCCATCCCCACAGTTAAGCATGGTGGTGGCAGCATCATGCTGTGGGGATGTTTTGCATCGGCAGGGACTGGGAAACTGGTCAGAATTGAAGGAATGGCGCTAAATACAGGGCAATTCTTGAGAGAAACCTGTTTCAGTCTTCCAGAGATTTGAGACTGGGACGTAGGTTCACCTTCTAGCAGGACAATGACCCTAAGCATACTGCTAAAGCAACACTTGAGTGGTTTAAGGGGAAACATTTACATTTCTTGGAATGGCCTAGTCAAAGGCCAGACCTCAATCCAATTGAGAATCTGTGGTATGACTTAAAAGATTGCTGTACACCAGCGGAACCCATCAACTTGAAGGAGCTGGAGCAGTTTTGCCTTGAAGAATGGGCAAAAATCCCAGTGGCTAGATGTGCCAAGCTTATCCAGCCATATCCACCAACAAGCTTTCAGCAAGAAAAAGGTCCAACTAAGGATGGGAGGAAGGAAGGCTGCGTTTTCAGAGTATTGGAACAGGGCCTGCTGGTGTCTGTACCTGTGTGATGTCCTCAATCTCCTGCTCTCTCTGTCTGAGCTGGCCCTGTAGTCTGATCAGCTCTCCCTCCGTCTCACTCTGTCCCTTCTTCATCTCCTGCTGTTTTCTCCAAGGCGGACCTCTCAGAGTGCTCCAACTCTCTCAGCTCAGCCTCGTACTTCTCCCTCACACGCTTCACACTGAGAGAGACACACAGAAACAGTATATCAAGCTCCAGGGTGAAGTTTCCCCTAAGTACAGATCTAGGATCAGCTTTCCTTTCCATAATCCTAACCTTAACCATTAGTAGGGGAAATGCAAAGCTGACCCAAGATCAGCGTCTAGACCGTATATCAACACTGTATATCAACATGTAGACATGTAGTATGTTCAGGCAAATTAGTAACCATATGCGTATTTATACATGCAAAATATACACATCATCCTTGCAGCACTTGCAAACACACGAAGCAGACTCACAGACATGGACATAGACAGGGACACACGTCACATTTAATGGTGAGATGACTAACCGATTGTCAGCGGCCCGGTCACATTCGTCGCGGGCCCCGCTCGTCTCCTCCTCCAGCCTCTGAATAGCCAGCTCGATCTCTTTGTCCCGCCCCCGACGCACTTCCTCCTTCAGCTCGCGCTCTCGACTCAACAACCATGCTTCCTGTAGACAGACAGACACACACACACACGGTTAAACCCCGATGTCAGAATACAGACAATCCACTGACAACAGCAGCAGGGCATGCGCAGGTCAATGTGAAACTGAGGTTGCTCTCATGACTTTGTGACCATTAGTTTCTCTGACTGCTGCAGTAAAGTTCCTCTGCCATCCTTCCTGCCTGTCTCCATATGTCCTTTGTCCTGTAGGTCATAGTATTCACATGACATTTAAGAGGGGAGCGAAGAAGTGGGAGGTGGGCAGATGGGAAGGAGATGGTGGTGGTGGGGGTTGGAGAGGAGGAGATCGCTTTCAGATCGCTCAGAGAACTGGAACTGTGCCATCGACTGACTCCCAAACACAATGAAAAATCCCCCTTTAAAAAGGCCCATGGAAAAACCTGTGGGGGTGCATGCTAGTGGCCTTCACAGGTCCAAAAAGTTGGACCCGTCATGAAATGGACCTGGGGCTTTCCCATCTGGACAAGGTATGCATAAATAAAAATGTTAAATATAGAGACCCGTTCCGAACGGACCGAGGACAACTAGACCCGTTGCGTATAGACCTGGTCGGATCCAGACCTGGTCCGATCCGAGTGAGGGAAGCAGCAGATTATTTTTTCGGCTACTTTATTAACCGGAGCTGATAAAGCACGATGGAGAGGAGGTAGAGAGAAGTGACGCTCTAGCAGGAGAGACAGCAACCAACCAAGACGACTCGCGCTATAGTAGACTAATAGCTGCCATAACTTGGTTATTTATCATCCAATATGATTACATAGTACCGGTCTTGACTGAATCAAACCGGGAGAAGCTAGTTAAGCTAGCTAATTAGCTAGGCTAATTGAGGCTGCATGTGCTTTCTCGTCCTACACAGTTACAAACAACTCCATTCAGCATATAAACAAGCTCTGATGCTGCCGATTGTCATTAGTAGCCTGCCAAACTTGCTAACTGCCTGGTCCTCAGCACTCTATTGTCCCTCTAATCACTCTGACATCAATGCAAATGTTCCGAAAATGTGTTGCGCAACATTTCTATAGGTTATGCAATTGCGTGAGAAAACAGAGTGATGGCCTCTATTAAAAAGAGGAGGATCCCATCAGCTTTCTATAGGCTAGGCCTGCTATATTGATTTCCCAACTTTCCTAATATTAAGCACATTGCTTCTCTTTACAACAGGATGGCATGAAAATGAACCACAGGAATAGCGTTCTTCAGTCGCTATTTAAGTGCATAGATGACATGTATTTTTTCCCGCTGCCCCGGTTTCGATACAGGTGCATGATAATGGTCCATTCTAAAGCAAAACAAATTTCACACATATATTATTATTTAGTATATGTAAAGACAAGATTAAATCAAGAATAGTCTGATGGGTGACAATATTAGCCTATCACTTGTGGATGATATATTTGCCGCGGGAAATTCGAGGCATTATCAAGTGCTTGTCAAATTGTGAATGAGAGACTGATGAAGTGTGTACAGTCTGCACAAAAAAACAACAAAGCAGAGCTCATCATGCAGCCTTACACATAAAACATATAGCCCAACGTTTGTATCACAAATAACTCTAAATTAAACATATAGGAGTACCCGTTTCTTTGTTAACCGTTCAACACAGAATAGCCGCATGTGCGCACTCCCTCAAATACTTTGTGGAGAAAATATCCTTTCTATTTTATTCAGCTATGTTCTATTGTATTCTTCATACTATAAAATAATATAAAATATTGCCATGGAATTCTAAGCAAATCTTGTCTGCTAAATGAAGTAATGTAGCCCACAGCCATATGGCATAGCCAGATCAGGGCCTACCATAAGGACAACTCAGAGTATGCTATTCTGTTCTTCTGAAACAGACTACATTTTCTTCATATCATGTTTATATAGACCTGTCTAAAATGAATAATGGCTTTATTGTGATGGATTTATTAGACTTTTTAAAATGTAGATGTTCCAAAAGGTCTGCATCAGTGGCTTGTAGGCTATGCGTGGAAGCCAGGAGATGCTAAATGTGTTTATGTTTATTAACGGTCAATTACTGTGAGACCGGCAGTTATTTGCTTGACAATCACCGGCTGCCAAAATGTAATGACTGCCACAGCCCTAGTATGGACATAACAGCTTGGGCTGTTCGGTTGTAGGACGCTGTTAGGACACTGGCCAAGTTGGCCAATGCAGTGCTGAGTGTGTAGTGGTCTGCCACACTGCACCATAGCAGTGCTAGGAGAGGGGGAGTGCATGTAGCTAGCGTGCTTAACAAGCAAATAGGGAGGGAGAGGGGACAACCACACTGACATGGACAAACAGTGTTCACGCATGCACACACACACCTCCTTCTTCATGTAGTTCTCCTCCCAGGTCTGTTTCTCGATCTCCAGGCGTTCTCTGAGGGCCTTTATCTCCACCTAGACAGACAAGAAACAAAGTTACTAACAGACCAGACAACAGAACACAACCCATGTTAGCCAGTCAGAGTGTCTGTAGGCCAGTCTCGATGGTCCTTTGCAGCTCAGTTGGTAGAGCATGGCGCTTGAAACGCCAAGATTGTTGGTTCGATTCCCACCGCGACCAGCTGTACAAAAAAGTATGCACGCCTGGCTATAAGTCGCGTTGGATAAAAGCATCTGCTAAATGGCATTTTTCAGCAATAATACATGAAGCCATGTGTTTTGAAATTTGTATCATGGCTGTGATGTGGTCATTGCTTTTATACAAAGGGTTACAAGCATTAAAAAGCAAAACTCTTTCCCAAACCATAAATGTTTCAACAAAACGTGATGCTACATTCACTAACACTGGTCGATTCATGATTTCGACTGGCTGAGAAAAGCTGCCGGTCTGCTTCGTCCCAACTCCCTCATTACTATGGGACACATTAGAAATCGAATTTCAATATTCCAACAATGTTGCAAAAGTTGGAGATAATGTCTAGATGTTTTTATAGTCGAGATCAAGTTTATAAATTGCATGGCTGGGCAGTGGATCTGTAAAAGTAGTAGTAGTTGTAGTAGCAGTGTGTTGCTAGGTAACGACGGCACTTTTTATGAATGTACTGGCCATGTGTATGTTGTCTAGTATACAATGGGCAGGATAGGCTCTAACAATGGGAATTCCAAACCACCTGTTGTATAATAATATATATATTATGGTAGGGACGGGTACCGTCCATTACCTGGTGTCTCCTCTCCTGCTCCTCCCTGCTCTTCTCCAGCTCTTCTCTCAGAGCTCTCCCTGCCAGGGAGCTGTTATCCTCCAGATGCTTCCTCAGGTCCTCTAGCTCAGCACGCTGCCTGCAGGGTGGTGATAGAGGACATTCACTTTAGAGATGCTCCACTGATACTTGACACACACTATTCAAACAGTAGGCATTACATTACTAGTAAACTCTCGTGGACAGATGTACGTAACATAGGATGGTATCGTTACGTCTGTCAACAGACTGTGGGATGTGACAACTAACGAGGAACTTTGTATCGGTACGCAGATGTTTGTCACTGATCATTTGGACAAATCACAATTTCGCAGGTGTTCCCATCTTTCGAGTTTGTCCCATACTTTGGCTGAGACTTTCCGTTTAAGGGGATGGAGACTTCGCTACTATCGTTTCTCATAAATCTGCCCCCAGAACCTAATCGAGCATTTTACGCAATTACGGTTTTTGAGATTACATTACTACACACATCATCATATGATAGCCTAAGTACTGTATGATTCTAATGTACTAGATGCTGTACAGTAAAGTCAAATACAGGCCATGTCATCAGTCTAACTGTACACACCAGTGTCCACAGCGACTGAAGTGTTAGGCCTAGACATACAGAGATGACAACATTGGGTGTCAGCCTCTATCTATATGACCTTTGACCTCACCTGGCAGCCAGCTGGTTGAGTCTCTCCTTCTCCTCAGACACCTCCTTGTAGAGCCGCCTCCTCTGCTGCTGTAGAGACATCTCCTCCTCCGCTAGCTGCTTCTCAAACCTGACCAGGAACACACACACAGTTAAACATCTCTAACCCTGTGGCCTAGGGTGGTCTACTCTGCTGCCATGGCAGCAGCTAATGGGGATCCATAATAAATACAAATACTCTAGCGGTCTAGGCTGCTGCCTCCGGTGCACTATACCGCTGCAGCAAGGGTTAGAATCCTGCACACTGCTAACACAGCACACTCTCCATCCTCTCTTTCACCACTATCTGTCTATCCAATAAACATACAAAGACTTAAGACATCTCTAACCCTAACCCTCTGCTTCTCAAAACTGATATGCACTGTATGTGTGTTCCTTCGGGAAGTATTCAGACCCATTGACTTTTTCCACATTTTGTTACAGCCTTATTCTAAAATTGATTAAATAAATGTTTTTCCTCAATCTACACACAATACCCTATAATGACAAAGCGAAAACAGGTGCAGCATGTATTACAAATAAAAAACAGAAATACCTTATTTACATAAGTATTCAGAGCCTTTGCTATGAGACTCGAAATTGAGCTCAGGTGCATCCTGTTTCCATTGATCGTCCCTGAGATGTTTCTACAAATTGATTGGAGTCCAACTGTGGTAAAATTGATTGTACATGATTTGGAAAGGCACACACCTGTCTATATAAGGTCTCACAGTGAGGTCGAAGGAATTGTTCGTAGAGCACCGAGACAGGATTATGTCGACGCACAGATTTGGGGAAGGGTACCAAAAAATTTCTGCAGCATTGAAGGTCCCCAAGAACACAGTGGCCTCCATCATTCTTAAATGGAAGAAGTTTGGAACCGCCAAGACTCCTCCTAGAGCTGGCCGCCTTGCCAAACTGAGCAATCAGGGAGAAGGGTCTTGGTCAGGGAGGTGACCAAGAACCCAATGGTCACTCTGACAGAGCTCCAGAGTTCCTCTGTGGAGATGGGAGAACCTTCCAGAAGGACAACCATCTCTGCAGCACTCCACCAATCAGGCCTTTATGGTGGAGTGGCCAGACAGAAGCCACTCCTCAGTAAAAGGCACATGACAGCCCGCTTGGAGTTTGCCAAAAGGCACCTAAAGGACTCTCAGACCATGAGAAACAAGATTCTCTGGTCTGATGAAACCAAGAATGAACTCTTTGGCCTGAATGCCAAGCATCACCTCTGGAGGAAACCTGGCACCATCCCTACGGTGAAGCATGGTGGTGGCAGCATCATGCAGTGGGGATGTTTTTCAGCGGCAGGGACTGGGAGACTAATCAGGATCGAGGGAAAGATGAACGGAGCAAAGTACAGAGAGATCCTTGATGAAAACCTGCTCCAGAGCGCTCAGGACCTCAGACTGGGGCGAAGGTTCACCTTCCGACAGGACAACGACCCTAAGCACACAGTCAAGACAACGCAGGAGAGGCTTCGGGACAATTCTCTGAATGTCCTTGAGTGGCCCAGCCAGAGCCCGGACTTCAACCCGATCGAACATCTCTGGGGAGACCTGAAAATAGCTGTGCAGCGACGCACCCCATCCAACCTGACAGAGCTTGAGAGGATCTGCAGGTGTGCCAAGCTTGTAGCGTCATACCCAAGAAGACTTGAGGCTGTTATCGCTGCCAAATGTGCTTCAACAAAGTACTGAGTAAAGGGTCTGAATACTTATGTAAATGTGATATTTAAGTTTAGAATTATTTATACATTTGCTAACATTTATAAAAACCAGTTTTTTCTTTGTCATTATGGGGTATTGTTTGTAGATTGATGAGGGGAAAAAACGATTTAATCCATTCTAGAATAAGACTGTAATGTAACAAAATGTGGAAAAAGTCAAGGGGTCTGAATACTTTCCGAATGCACTGTACGTAAGGGTGAGTCAGCTTTGCCAAACACAATGTACATAAGTAATGTGATATCGCTAACAACTGACAAAGATATCTCACACCAGGGAAAATCCACTTTTTTCAGCTGAAAGATGATGTCCAGAGCTTACCCGTGATGTTGCACAACGATTTAAGTCAATAAGTCATTGTTTTAGTGAACAGGGAAATCCGAAGTTTTCTGCATCTATGCCAAGCGTTTCCTGATAAAAGTATGTACATTTCGAGCCAACTATACGTGTCTTGCGAGGGCTGGCTTTAGTTAATTTGGAACCACTTACAAAACATGTACTGTACATGTGTTGGCTTATTACTTCCCGTTTACAACCTGGTGCTACGGATTACTTCTGTCTGTAATGCACTTAGATCGATCTGGAGATGTTGGATGGGCTGACGGTAAAACGGTGAGTAAGAAAAAAGCTAAATATTATTCTGATGAGCTACCGCCATTCACTTGGCTATAGTAAGCAGCCTGGCAAGGCACACATTAGCCGAACGACTTATCAGGGGCTAACGTCACCTAGCTAACATTAGCTGGATAGCTAGCGACATCAAAAGTGGATGAAGACATGGATAGGTGAAATGTCAACACAGCTGCAACACGGTAGCGTTACAGTAGCAGCAAGTGTAGTCCTATGGGACACTAACAAGTGAGCTAGCTATAGTATAGGTAACTGTGCGGTGAAGCAAATCCATATGTAGTAGCAAATTTCATTTATAGCTCAGTGAGTAAATCACTCCTTTACCAGTACTAATGTAACTGCACCGTTCTTCAGATCATTAGTTTATCAGAGAAACAGCTGAATGCTAGCATAGTTACAGGTACTCTTATGCTTGAAACAACTTTGGAACCAATTATTCACAGTTGCTAAGTTACATTACATTTACATTTTAGTCATTTAGCAGACGCTCTTATCCAGAGCGACTTACAGTTAGTGAGTGCATACATTTTACCTGGCTAGCTAGCTTTATTGGCCCAGGGAGTAGGTTAACTAGCCTCGTAGGTAAAACTCCAGTAAACTCAGTATTAATCTATGATCATTAAATCCCGTTACAAAAAGATAGGGGGAGAGTGGATGGTCCTTCGCCTTGTCGTAGCTACCGTTAAATGTGCTGTGCTCCGTAGCGATTAGCTAAGCTAACCTGACCCTGGCTGTTTGGTTTGTTTACAAACTGCGGAGTGTGGGCTGTGCCAGAGACAGTACGGGCTGTGCACACGGAGGAAGTTGGAGATGTGCCAGAGCCATAGTCGGTGTTTGGAGGGTGGAACTAAACAAGCATTTCTGCACTAGGACAGGAATTAGGTTGAAATAGTTGTGGCAACTTCCTCTGGAGGGGGCCTTTAACCAATGATACACTCCAATAGGGTTGTGATGGTCATGGAATTTCGGATGGCGGAAATTGACCAGCCAAATGACTGCAGTCACCGTAATAACCGTTCAAATAGAAAAAAAATAAGTTTTTTTAAACACATTTTCTCCTCTCCTCTGCTCCTGACTGCATGTGCTGCAATATAAATATAATGAAGAGAACGGGCATCCCCATTCAGGTCAATGATGGCATAATGGGTGGAATGGCAGCAGAGAGGAAGAGGCAAAGCGAGAGGCTTTACTCTGCCCAAAATATGTCCACGAAGTGAGGAATTTTTGTATGGAGGTCAATGAGTGTCGAATTTAGGCAACAAAAAATGTAATTTGCCACGCAAGGCTTATTTAATCGAATTGAAGTTTTGTAATGGTTAGGTTTGTGGGCTCGCCTGATGGCGTTACCGGATTTGAAAATGGGGTCACAAGCTAGCGTCCCAAATGGCACCCTATTCCGTATATAGTGCACTACTTTTGATTAGAGCCCTGTTGGCCTTTTGTCAAAAGTAGTGCACTATATAGGAAATAGGGTGCCATTTGGGATGCAAACACTGCCTTCCTGGCTCTTTCATTGTTAGTCCGTCCTTGAACCTTATCACTAGAGCGCAGGCAGCGTGACCACGTCACACAGGATGTGTGGGAAAGAACAGACTAGTGGAAATAAGGCCATCTGTACAATGCGCGCACACGCACACACAGAAAGCCATCTCTACACCACACATACTCTAATGCATTCAGCTTCTGAAAGACAACCACATTGGTTAACTATCTACAGGGGTGGTTTGGTGATTCAAATAGCCTTCATTTCTTATAAAGCTAGTTCCTGTCCATTATTTTGGGTTTCCTGTCTTGCATTTACAATGTTATCGTAGTGTGAGTGTGTGTGAGCCCGCGTGCGTGCATGTATGGTGTGCAAACAAACCTCTGCTTGGCCAGTTCCCTCTCTCTCTGACACTGCTCGTCCCGGTCTCTCTCCAGCTGTTGTCGTAGCTCTTCACTCTGGCGAACGTAGCGTTGGGCTGCCCTCTCGTCTGCCTGCAGCAGCTCAGCCTCGTGAAGGACCCGCAGCTTTTTCAGCTCCTGCTTGTGTTTACAGATCAGCTTCTGGATCTCTGGCTCCAGACCTGGCACAAAGAGAAGAGAGAACAAGAGGAAAAGGACGAGAGAGAGAGAGAGGAGAGAGCGGAGAGAGGATGAGAGGAGAGAGAAAAAGAGGGAAAAAAAGGAAGAGGAGAGAGAGAGAGAAGGAACGGGAGAGAGAGAGAGAGAGGAGAGAGAGAGCGAGAGAGAGAGGAGGGAGAGAGGAGAGGAGGGAGGAGAGGAGAGAGAGGAGAGAGAAGGATCCTGGCCTCGAGGCAGCTTCAACGGAGGCCCTTCGAGAACGCTTTAACTGAAGCAACAGAGGCCCTTCGATGAAGCTTCAACAGAGGCCCTTCGATGAAGCTTCAACAGAGGCCCTTCGATGAAGCTTCAACAGAGGCCCTTCGATGAAGCTTCAACAGAGGCCCTTCGAGGCAGCTGAACTGAGGCCTTAGAGCGCACTTAAACTGAGGCCCTTCGAGGCAGCTTCAATGGGCCCTTCGAGCAGCTTCAACTGGGCCGTCGAGGCAGCTTCAACTGAGGCCCTTCGAGGCAGCTTCAACTGAGGCCCTTCGAGGCAGCTTCAACTGAGGCCCTTCGAGGCAGCTTCAACTGAGGCCCTTCGAGGCAGCTTCAACTGAGGCCCTTCGAGGCAGCTTCAACGGAGGCCCTCCTCTCACCTTTCACAGTGATCTCTTTTATCTTCTTGGTCTTCTCGTCGATCCACTTCTCCCTGCGGACCTTCTCTGTGACACTCATCAACTCTTTCAGCTTCTTGATCTCCTGAGGATGAAGAGGGGCAGGTTAGAGGTTAGAGTTCAGGTTAAATGCCAAAGGTCAATCTTCCTTTGGAGAGAAGTTACTACAGTGACTGGGAGGGACACTGTAGCGACACCATCTCTGTGACATCTTCCATGAAAAAAGGTGCCTCAATGAAACATCAAGGGTAATTTCTGTTGGCCAAAGATTAGGCTACATCTCATGTGACCAAGAATAGATTGGTGATGAGAGTGTAGTGATCATAAACATACATATATTCATATTAAAATGTTTATATACATAATTGGTGGTGATATGCAAACAGGAATGGTTTGTGAGGCTACATTGCACAAGAGGGAAATGGTATGAAAGAATAGGGTTTAAGAGTTTTAGACTGAAGACAGACAAGGGCTGAGAGAACACATACTGTAGGGTTAGTCAGCTGCCTAGGACAGGGGTTTAAAAACTGTTACAACACCAAGTCTACAGACAGACAGACGGTACCAGAATAGACTCGCATGCATATAGACAGTCCTGACAGGAGAAAGGAGGACAAATGAACGAATGAATGAATGAATGAATGAATGAATGAATGAAAGAAAGAAGAGCAAGACGGGAGTGATGAGTGGGTTAGGGAAAAAGGTTACCTCGCACAAGGGACCCAGAATTTGCCACACCTAGAGCCAGAGAAAAATGAGACAGACGGGACAGAGGAGGAAAGGAGAGGAGGAAAGGAGAGGAGGAAAGGGAGAAAAAACACAGTGATTAAAAAGCAACAATAGCAGAGGCAAGCAAAGCAGGCAAACACATAATGCCACAAAGAGACAAGGCATAAGCAGAGAGAAGTCGCTAGCAGCAGAAGAGACTGTTAAACCACAAACAGATAAAACACAGATCCTCATCTCCTCTGCCTCCTCTTAGCCATAGTGGTGGATGGCTCAAGTCTGCATCCTAGTGGTCAGGACAGAGGATGGCAGATGTCAGTCCTGTAAGCAGTGTGCGTGTGTGTGTGAGACCCCTTACCAGTTCATGCTGCTCCTGCATCTGGCCGATCTTCTTGGTGTATTTCTGATCCACTAGTTTGAGCTCTCCCACCACTCCCTCACAACGCTCACTCAGAGCCTTCTTATCATCTATTAGCTGCACAAACAGAGAGAGAGAAAATAGAGTGAGATGAGAGATAGAGGCGCTAACGACATTTCAGTTCAAAGGAGGGAGTGATGGCATAGCCTTGGATAAGAGTCTAAGGGGGTCGTGTGTGTGTGTGTTTGTACCTGGTCTATAAAGGTGAGGTGTCTCTGGATGGTGGCTTCATACTGCTCCTTCTGCAGAGTGAAGTTCCTGCTCAGTTCCTTCTCTGTCTCCTTCACATGTCTCACTGTCAACTCCCTCTGCTGGGTCTGGGACAGGGAGAGAGGGATGGAGGATGGGCGAGAGAGAGACGGAGAGGGGACAGCTTAGCATGTGAATACTATACACCAGGGATAGGCTTGCAACGCCAGGGTTGTGGGTTCGATTCCCACGGGGGGCCAGTATGAAAAATGTATGCACTCACTAACTGTAAGTCGCTCTGGAAAAGAGCGTCTGCTAAATGACTAAAATGTCAAAAGGCAACAGGTGGCCTGCGATTCAATTTGGCCCCCCAAAGTTGTCTTAGCAAAAACATATATCTATATTTTTGGAACAGATTGAGATGGGGTAAAGATATGACATCTGCAATTGACAACTGTTACCCTGTGAAAAAGAAAACACCACATATGGCTGTGAGATGATCTTGTGTATTGTGTTGTTATTCATGTTCTCACCAGAGCGGACTGCAGCATGTTGACGGTGCGCCTCTTCTCCTCCAGCTCCAACTTCAGTCTCATCATGGAGCCAGTGACCTCAGCAGCCGTGGCCGAGGCTTGCTCTATTCCCGCAAGATCCTCTTCTGACAACATCTAGAGACAGAGAGCGATGGAGACAGAGCCAGAGAGAGAGCTCACACACTGCAACACACACAGTCCAACTCACTAACATCTAACTATTTCAGCAACACATCACCCTTTCAGCTCAAAATCTAACCTTATCTACCTAACCCTATATGGTAGGGTAAATTAAAAGCTCAAGTCACATCTCAAGATTGGAGAGGTGTGTATAATAACAGTCAGATAGGGAGAACAAGCTACCCCTCATTATCAGTATTGAGAGGTTGCTGGTCTAGTTCAGAAATGAAGGCAAGCCCTGCACTAGCAAATCCTTATTTTATCAGCAATGTCGGGATAATGACATTGAGTGAGTCTCCCCGCACCTCTTTGTGTGACCCTGAGGTGACAGATCGAGGTCTCTCCTGTTCAGACTTCTCCATCTCATCAAGGAAGCTCATGATGCTCTGTAGCTTGGCCTCAGAGAGGAGAGCGCCCCCGTCTGGCAGCACAGGGGTATGGACCAGCTGGCCATGACGCTCCAGGTTATCAGTGGTCAGGGAGTTGGAGTCTCCATCCTGAGAGAACAGAAACAGGTTATCAGTGGTCAGGGAGTTGGAGTCTCCATCCTGAGAGAATAGAAACAGGTTATCAGTGGTCAGGGAGTTGGAGTCTCCATCCTGAGAGAATAGAAACAGGTTATCAGTGGTCAGGGAGTTGGAGTCTCCATCCTGAGAGAATAGAAACAGGTTATCAGTGGTCAGGGAGTTGGAGTCTCCATCCTGAGAGAATAGAAGCAGGTTATCAGTGGTCAGGGAGTTGGAGTCTCTGTCCTGAGAGAATACTAATAATAGAAACAGGTTATTAGTGGTCAGGGAGTGGAAGGGAGAGAAATAAAAATATGTATGTGACCGACTGGGGTTTGCACCACTGGGGTTTGAACCACTGGGGTTTGCACCACTGGGGTTTGCACCACTGGGGTCTCCTACGCGTCCCAAGACTGTGTTGGCTCATAAAAAAATGAAAGGCTAAAAAGGTAGAGTAGACATCAAGTAGTTGAAATCTATTGGATTACAAGGCATTACCAAGAGCTGAGGTGAATCAAGGTGTGAAACAGGACTGGATAGATACAAGTAGCTTCAGATCTGGATAGATAAGGGTAGCTTCAGATCTGGATAGATACAAGTAGCTTCAGATCTGGATAGATACAAGTAGCTTCAGAGAGTGAACAAGGGCAGAGGGAAGGGTACAACTTTGTGGAATGAAGAGAGTAGTGCAGCCTTACCTCGTCTATCCAGGAGTACTTCTCCTTGTGGTAGCTCTTGGGTTCAGACAGCCTCTCTGGTTCTTCCTCTAGGAGCTTCAGAGTGTCCAGCAGGTCATTCAGGGTGGTCTTAGACTGGGCTCTGCTCGACAGCGCCCCCTGGCGCTGGTCCTCCACACTCACTGACCGCTGCAGAATCTCCTGTTATACAGAGAAGAACAAATACAGCGTCAGGACATGGATGAGATTAAATCATCCTGAACGCACTGGTTTTGTAGACAATATACAGATAATTAAGACAGGTTTAAGAATGAGAAAAAGCATAAACAATGGGAATATTCCAAAGATCAGGTCTCATACTGTTATGGTACATTTATATAGAGGTAGAATCAATTAATCATTGGTTTGTTACCTGTGAGCATTGAGAATCTCTGCGATTGGACAGTGCAGGGGACAGCGCTCTCAGGTTGGTGACATCATCCAGGTCAGTCACAACGTTCACATTGTTAGAGTCTGTAGACAAACAGAGGAAAAACCTGAGGGCAATGTCTGTATGCAACTATATGTGCTTACAGGTCAGGATATGTTAGCTGGCAATGGAGAAAGGAAATGCGGAAGCCAGTTACACTGCACACTAATTTACATTACATCCATGACTGCACTAGGCTTGATGGGGCAAGTTGCCATTAGAGGCCCAGGGAGAGACTGACCTGTGTTCTGGGCCTTGACGTCAGAGCCAGTGGGGGAGATAGGGTTCCTGTTGCAGGGGGATGTGGGGCTCTTGTTGCTGGAGGAGGAGGTGGTGGTCTTGGGGGGTTTCTTACGGCCCACCTTGCCACTGTGTGTCAGGGTCTCCATCTCCTCCTGGGCCAAGGCCTGTACCTCGGCAGCCCTCTGGGCTCTCTTCTGCTGCAGCTCCTGCAACACAGCAGGAGGGGGCGACATTAGGCACGCAGGGCCACAGAGGGAGAGACGGGGGAACTAGGGTGAAGTTGCCCCTAGACGCTGATCTTGGGCCAGCTTAGCATTTTTCCCACTAATTATAAAGGTTAGGGGAAGCTGATCTTAAATCTGTACCATGGGGAAACTTCACCCCGGAGCAGGAACTAGCCTTGTTCCAGATCTGTTTGTGCCATCTTGCCAACTCCTTGTCACTCATTGTCAAGTCAAACATTACAATTCTATCAGTAGTTGGCTAGAGAGTAGGAACAGACCAGCACCCAGGCTATGTGGGAACTGTCTGCAAGGTGTTTTTCTAAATCTACTACATTTGTGTCATCAAGACTGAAGCATTTGGCTTTGTGGGGTTAACGCCTTTGGCATTTGTTGGGAAAGGAAAACGTGTGTGAGGGGGGGGGGGGGGGGGGGGGGGGGCAAGAACTTGATGGGGCATCGTGGATACAACAACAAAAAACGAAGGAGCAGCATTTGTTGGGGTTGGGGAACATTTGGGGTTGAAAAGTAAGTGTCTGAAAGACAGAGGTGAGAAAGAAATGTAGTTGAGAGAGTGGGATCTAACAAAGAATAGCCTAGAAACCACTGTGTTATGACTCATGTACGATAAGAGATATCTACTGTAGGAAGTTCAGCTATAGTTCAACTATACATTCAGCCATAATTCATCCTGTATACCTTCGCTGAGGCTGTGTAAATATTCCTCTATAATACCTGAATGGCTGTGACGCGGGCAAGACGAGCCTTCTCCTCACGAATCCTTTTCCTGTCCTCCTCCTTCTTCTGCACCTCTGGAGACTTCCCCTCCTCCGCTCTCTGTTCTCGTTCCTACACAGGGTTAACCCAAAAAGGTTGTGGGTTCAATTCCCGCAGGGATCATATACAGTGCCTTCAGAAATTATTCACACACCTTCAATTTTTCTAAATGTTTTTGTGTTACAGCCTGAATACAAAATTGATTAAATTGAGATTTTGTGTCACTGATCTACACACAATACCTTATAATGTCAAAGTGGAATTTTGTTTGTAGAAAATGTGAGAAATTAATAAAAAATTTAAAGCTGAAATGTCTTGAGTCAATAAGTATTCAACCCCTTCGTTATGGCAAGCCTAAATAAGTTCAGGAGTAAAAATGTGCTTAACAAATCGCATAATAAAGTTGCATGGACTCATTCTGTGTTCAATAATAGTGGTTAATATGATATTTTTTATAACTACAATCTCTGTACCCCACACATACAATCATCTGTAAGGTCCCTCAGTTGAGCAGTGAATTTCAAGCACAGATTCAACCACAATGACCAGGGAGGTTTTTCAATGCCTCGCAAAGGGCACTGATTGGTAGATGTGTAAAATAAAAAAAAGCAGACGCTAAATATCCCTTTGAGCAGGGTGAAGTTATTAATTAGGCTTTGGATGGTGTATCAATACACCCAGTCACTACAAAGATACAGGCGTTCTTCCTAACTCAGTTGCCGGAGAGGAAGGAAACCACTCAGGGATTTCACCATGAGGGCAATGGAGACTGTAAAACAGTTACAGAGTTTAATGGCTGTGATAGGAGAAAACTGAGGATGGATCAACATCATTGTAGTTACTCCACAATACTAACCTAAATGACAGAGTGAAAAGAAGAAAGCCTGTACAGGATACAACTATTTCAAAACATGCATCATGTTTGCAACAAGGCACTTAAGTAATACTGCAAAAATTATTGGCTAAGAAATGTACTTTTCGTCCTGAATACAAAGCCTTATGATTGAGGCAAATTCAACACAACACATCACTGAGTACCACTCCTCATATTTTCAAGCACGGTGGTGGCTGCATCATGTTATGGGTATGCTTGTCATCGGCAAGGACTAGGGAGTTTTTGGATAAAAATAAACTGAATACAGCTATAAGCACAATCAAAATCCTAGAGGAAAACCAGGTTCAGTCTGCTTTCCAACAGACACTGGGAGATGAATTCACCTTTCAGCAGGACAATAACCTGCTGAAATCTACACTGAAGTTGCTTACCAAGACGACATTGAATGTTCCCGAGTGGCCTAGTTACAGTTTTGACTTATATTGGCAAGACTTGAAAATGGCTGTCTTGTAATGATCAACAATCAACTTGACAGAGCTTGAATAATTTTTTTAAAGAATAATGGGCAAATGTTGTACAATCCAGGTGTGCAAAGCTCTTAGACATTTCCCAAAAAGATTCACAGCTGTAATCGCTGCCAAAGGTGATTCTACAAAGTATTGACTCAGGGTTATGAATACTTACGTAAATTATTCAAGGGGTCTGAATACTTTCCGAAGGCACTGTATATTATCTTATTATTACATTAATTCTATGGACGCAGTGCTAGTGACTATGGATTCAATGGATAAAACCACAATGGCCTAGTAGTATTGTGTGGTGGTGGTATACTCAGCTAAACAGAGATCAGGTAGACCAGACGTTTACCTTCTTCTTGGTGGTAAGGATGCGTCTGAGGGCAGCCTGGCTGGCGTGCTGTGACTGTCTTCTGGCATAGCGTCTATACCACCGCTGGATGGTCACCGCTGCCTGGTTCACCTGCTGGATGAACCTTCAGACACAACAACATAGAGGTCAAAGGCTAGGGTGAGCAATACGCAACAAAAAAAAAAGTCACCACAAATCAATACAAGGAGCTGTAAGGAAGGAGAGTGACTGATTTTCCAAAGTTGTTCTGGACATGCACACAACCCATCACGGATTTAAAAGCAAAGGATTGGTGTAAGCTTTGGCTGGAGGGAGTTTCCACCATTGTAAAATCAATGACAGAGAATGTGCAAGGGCACTTCTAAAGACATTTGCTAGACAAAACATTACAACACAAGAGCATTGATTCCCAAGGTGCCTTGCTGAGTGAACTCTGACCTCTCTGCCTCCTCCTCGGTGACCTCTCTCCTACGGGGCAGGCTGGGGGAGCCTCTGGGGCTGCGCTGGGCAGCATTGTTGTTAGACGTAGAGGAGGACGAGGAGAAGTTCTTCTGGGACTTGGTGGTCAGAGAGCTGCTCTCCAGGGGTCCCTCGTCATTCACTGTGGCTTTCAGGATGTTACTGAGCACACAGAGAGAGAGACATGGACATTAACTTAGTATCAATCAAATGTATTTATAAAGCTTTTTTACATCAGCAGTTGTCACCAAGTTCTTTCACATACTTCTTATCAACACAGTATAAAAACTGCACAAACCTTTGAAGTACTAATGCAGTATACTGTATGCCGCAAAAGACTGAATGAAAGACAATGAAATAATGTATTATATTTTTGACTCACTTGAAGGAGGGTTTCTGGTTGGAGCTCTTGGGGGTGAGGGGTTTGTCAGAGTAGTTGTTATGCAAGATGGTGGTGACAGAGTTCCCCACAGCTCCCTTGTTGCTCCTAAAAGATCCGGGGCGAAATGTCACTGAACACCCTGACTGACAAACTATCTGGAAAGCTCATGTGTCATCATAGCAAGTCACTGCAAAGTAGGGGAGACCGGGGAACAAAATAACAGTTTTAGGATTTTGCTTAGTATGAAAATAATATTTGAGGTAGTTTCATAATATTTTTATACAAACATACATATCTTAGCTACCATTACACACTGTAACAAAGTTTCTAGGACATACTAGTTGCTTACAATTCAACCGACAGTGGTGGAAGTAAAATGTCACTGTTGTGTTTCCCACAGGTCTTCAACTGTAAAAATGCGGGGTCATTCAGAAATGTTAAGATTTGAAAGTGATATTTGGATGAAAATACACTAAATTCACAAAATATAAAATTTTCATTTTATCTTTTCGGCAAGTCATAATGACAAAAAACAAAGTAGACCAAATTACTATACTTTATAGAAGATACTTTTAGTAAAAGTATGAATTTGACTTTAAAAAAATAATCTAAGGTATTATCTTAGTTGTACTGGCAAACTTCATGTAAAAAAAGTTAACTTTTATATAATTATGTGAATGTGTCTAAATACCATATAAAATAACATAGGTTTTTAGAACAAATGTTACAAATCTGAGTCTTGTGAGAAAATACAACAATAATGATTGTCATCACCTATACCAACAAAAATTCCTTTTTTTTTATTTTTTTTACACCAAATACAAACGAACAACAACTTACAGACGCACACAAACAACGACTACATCTCCTCTGCCCAGACCCACATGCTCACATCCATATATTTCTGAATTTAAGCATAACTTCCTAGCATTTGTACATTGAATAACAGCTTTCTAAGTTATTTCAAATTGTATTTATTTTGTTGTTACTTTGTAAGGGGGGGGGGAGTCACTCCTAGGGCTGTTACGGTGACCGTATTACCGCCACAGAGGCGGTCAGGAGTCATGATGGCAGTCAAATTCCACGTGATCCTTTAGTCACGGTAATTAGGTTTCTCCAAGCGAGGATTCTGCTAATGGTCATTAGTAGCCTACCAAATTTGCTAACTGCCTTTTACTCAGCACTCTATTGTCCCTCCTGAGTGGCGCAGTGGTCTAAGACACTGCATCGCAGTGCTAGCTGTGCCACTAGAGATCCTGGTTCGAATCCAGACTCTGTCGTAGCCGGCCGCGACCGGGAGACCCATGGGGTGGCGCACAATTTGCCCAGGGTAGGGGAGGGAATGGCCGGCAGGGATGTAGTTCAATTGGTAGAGCATGGCGTTTGCAACGCCATGGTTGTGGGTTCGATTCCCACGGGGGGCCAGTATGAAATAATGTATGCACTGTAAGTCGCTCTGGATAAGAGCGTCTGCTAAATGACTAAAATGTAAATGTAAAATCACCCTGACATCAATGCAGATCTATCAATGCAAATCTAATGTTGCGCAACATTTCTGTAATTGCGTGAGAAAACAGAGTTTTGATGGCCTCCACTAAAAAGAGGATCCCATCAGCTTTCTATAGGTTACGCCTATTATATTTATTTATCAACTTTAGTAATATACAGTGGGGAAAAAAAGTATTTAGTCAGCCACCAATTGTGCAAGTTCTCCCACTTAAAAAGATGAGAGGCCTGTAATTTTCATCATAGGTACACGTCAACTATGACAGACAAATTGAGATTTTTTTCCCCAGAAAATCACATTGTAGGATTTTTAATGAATTTATTTGCAAATTATGGTGGAAAATAAGTATTTGGTCACCTACAAACAAGCAAGATTTCTGGCTCTCACAGACCTATAACTTCTTCTTTAAGAGGCTCCTCTGTCTTCCACTCGTTACCTGTATTAATGGCACCTGTTTGAACTTGTTATCAGTATAAAAGACACCTGTCCACAACCTCAAACAGTCACACTCCAAACTCCACTATGGCCAAGACCAAAGAGCTGTCAAAGGACACCAGAAACAAAATTGTAGACCTGCACCAGGCTGGGAAGACTGAATCTGCAATAGGTAAGCAGCTTGGTTTGAAGAAATTAACTGTGGGAGCAATTATTAGGAAATGGAAGACATACAAGACCACTGATAATCTGCCTCGATCTGGGGCTCCACGCAAGATCTCACCCCGTGGGGTCAAAATGATCACAAGAACGGTGAGCAAAAATCCCAGAACCACACGGGGGGACCTAGTGAATGACCTGCAGAGAGCTGGGACCAAAGTAACAAAGCCTACCATCAGTAACACACTACGCCGCCAGGGACTCAAATCCTGCAGTGCCAGACGTGTCCCCCTGCTTAAGCCAGTACATGTCCAGGCCCGTCTGAAGTTTGCTAGAGTGCATTTGGATGATCCAGAAGAGGATTGGGAGAATGTCATATGAAACCAAAATATAACTTTTTGGTAAAAACTCAACTCGTCGTGTTTGGAGGACAAAGAATGCTGAGTTGCATCCAAAGAACACCATACCTACTGTGAAGCATGGGGGTATAAACATCATGCTTTGGGGCTGTTTTTCTGCAAAGGGACCAGGACGACTGATCCGTGTAAAGGAAAGAATGAATGGGGCCATGTATCGTGAGATTTTGAATGAAAACCTCCTTCCATCAGCAAGGGCATTGATGATGAAACGTGGCTGGGTCTTTCAGCATGACAATGATCACAAACACACCGCCCGGGCAACGAAGGAGTGGCTTCGTAAGAAGCATTTCAAGGTCCTGGAGTGGCCTAGCCAGTCTCCAGATCTCAACCCCATAGAAAATCTTTGGAGGGAGTTGAAAGTCCGTGTTGCCCAGCGACAGCCCCAAAACATCACTGCTCTAGAGGAGATCTGCATGGAGGAATGGGCCAAAATACCAGCAACAGTGTGTGAAAACCTTGTGAAGACTTACAGAAAACGTTTGACCTGTGTCATTGCCAACAAAGTGTCAAGGCGTGCTGAAGGTGGGTGTGTGTAGGAATCATGCGCAGGACGCAGAGGCTCAGTCCAAAGGCTTTAGTGCAATATATACATTATATACACAACAGAAGCACCATAAGCCCGAAGGCAAAAATACAAGACGCACACAGGCGACAAAACAAAAGACGCACAAACATGTGCAAAACAACCCTCTCCAAAACACTGGAGGGAAAATGTAGCTCCAAACACGAAACAGAAGCGCAATCACACACAACGACAAGCACACACAACGAGAACTAAATAGGACACTAACGAGGACTAACAAGACACAGGTGTACAACATCCAGACAAAACCAAACGAACATGAAACATAGATCGGTGGCAGCTAGTACTCCGGGGACGACGACCGCCGAAGCCTGCCCGAACCAGGAGGAGGAGCAGTCTCGGCCGAAACCGTGACACAAAGGGTATATAACAAAGTATTGAGAAACTTTTGTTATTGACCAAATACTTATTTTCCACCATAATTTGCAAATAAATTCATTAAAAATCCTACAATGTGATTTTCTGGGGAAAAAAATCTCAATTTGTCTGTCATAGTTGACGTGTACCTATGATGAAAATTACAGGCCTCTCATCTTTTTAAGTGGGAGAACTTGCACAATTGGTGGCTGACTAAATACTTTTTTTCCCCACTGTAAAGCACATTGCTTCGATTTACAACAGGAGTGGCATGAAAATTAACCACGGGAACAGCGTCCTCCATTCGCTACAGCGTCCTCCATTCAGACCCCTTGACTTTTTCAAAATGTTGTTACATTACAGCCTTATTCTAAAATGGAATAAAAAATACACTCCGCAATCTATACACCATACCCCATATTTACATACAGTGAGGGAAATAAGTATTTGACCCCTCTGCAAAACATGACTTAGTACTTCGTGGCAAAACCCTTGTTGGCATGCCGAGAGATGAGTTCGGATTGCTCTGCCATGTAGCACGCTTGTCTATAATCACAGAGGTCAGACGTTTCTTGTAGCTGGCCACCAGGTTTGCACACATCTCAGGAGGAATTTTGTTCCACTCCTCTTTGCAGATCTTCTCCAAGTCATTAAGGTTTCGAGGCTGACGTTTGGCAACTCGAACCTTCAGCTCCCTCCACAGATTTTCTATGGGATTAAGGTCTGGAGACTGGCTAGGCCACTCCAGGACCTTAATGTGCTTCTTCTTGAGCCACTCCTTTGTTGCCTTGGCTGTGTGTTTTGGGTCATTGTTATGCTGGAATACCCATCCACGACCCATTTTCAATGCCCTGGCTGGGGGAAGGAGGTTCTCACTCAAGATTTGACGGTACATGGCCCCGTCCATCGTCCCTTTGATGCGGTGAAGTTGTCCTGTCCCCTTAGCAGAAAAACACCCCCAAAGCATAATGTTTCCACCTCCATGTTTGACGGTGGGGATGGTGATCTTGGGGTCATAGGCAGCATTCCTCCTCCTCCAAACACAGCGAGTTGAGTTGATGCCAAAGAGCTCCATTTTGGACCACAACACTTTCACCCAGTTCTCCTCTGAATCATTCAGATGTTCATTGGCAAACTTCAGACGGCCCTTTATATGTGATTTCGTCAGCAGGGGGACCTTGCAGGATTTCAGTCATTTACGGCGTAGTGTGTTACCAATTGTTTTCTTGGTGACTATGGTCCCAGCTGCCTTGACATCATTGACAAGATCCTCCCGGGTAGTTCTGGGCTGATTCCTCACCGTTCTCATGATCATTGCAACTCCACGAGGTGAGATCTTGCATGGAGCCCCAGGCCGAGGGAGACTGACAGTTCATTTGTGTTTCTTCCATTTGCGAATAAACGCACCAACTGTTGTCACCTTCTCACCAAGCTGCTTGGCGATGGTCTTGTAGCCCATTCCAGCCTTGTGTAGGTCTACAAGCTTGTCCCTGACATCCTTGGAGAGCTCTTTGGTCTTGGCCATGGTGGAGAGTTTGGAATCTGATTGATTGATTGCTTCTGTGGACAGGTGTTTTTTTATACAGGTAACAAGCTGAGATTAGGAGCACTCCCTTTAAGAGTGTGCTCCTAATCTCAGCTCGT